AAGCCCCATGAGCACACTAGAGGGTGAATGCCAGCCCACTGGGTAGCTTTGGCTCTTGTCTTGACAGAACCCATTCCATCCCAGGGGCTCATTCCTCTGCTGGGTTCAGCTCTGGCCTCGAGACACACTTGGGACACAATGTGATGTTCACTGTGCCCACACACTAGAATGGCATCCTAGGCCCTGGGCATAAAATAGATCCAGCTCAGAGGGGGTGGGTGCTGTGGCTGGGGGCTAGAATTGGCTCAGTCTCATCTGAAACCCTTTGAGAGCTGTCTCTAGGTGCCTGGGGTCTGCCGCATTAATGACCTACCAGCTTTGTGCCAAGTGACCCTGGAACACTGGTACTGAATTTTATGTCTGGAAGCCACAATGGGAGAAACAGTGTCCTGTCAGATTAAGAAAGAGCTTAACACACAAGCACAACTGTCTGTCATTCCCAGACATTTTCTACTACTCTCCTCTGACACCTTCAGAACAAATCCAGAGCTATCTTGAAGAGGTCCCCAGGCCTTGCCACAGAAACCTTCCAAGGTTCTGTGCCCAGGAGTGGGGCTGCAGGGGTCCCCCAGGCACCTTTCCAAGGGCCATCTGGTGTGCACTCTTCTTTTAGTCTGAGTCTCTCTGATAGATCCACCAAAGAATTTTCCAGATGCAGAAAACTGAGCCTAGTGAGTATGCCTGGCCTGGCCTTTTCTTTCAGGAGATTCTTGTGAAGAACTTCCAAAAGCTAGAAGAGAAAATTCTCTGTAAAGGACATGGCATGATTCAAGCATGTGGTTATTCTTCTATCCTTGCCATTTAGACCAGTGCTGCCCAGTGCAAGCATGGTCCAGTTCAAATATGTCACTTAAAATCATCTAGCAGACACATAAGAAGTTAAAAGGGAAAATACAAGCTCAGTCCTGGCTTCCCATCCTGCTCCTACAGCCCTGTCATCTGGGCCTGCCTGCATCTCCAGCCCCTGCTTCCTTCAGCTGCTTAGGCTGTTAAGGCCTGTGACTTCTCAAGCTCGCAGACAATGACTCATCATTCTTCCTCTCGGTTGCTTGCTGACCGAAGTCAGGCTCCCCAAGTTCAGGACTATCTAGCTCACTCCCCAGTGAATGAACAGGGCCTGGCACATAGCAGTTTGAATCATTCATTGGAAATGAATTGAGTTGGTGAGTGGAGTGGAGTGGATGGATGGATGGATGGAGGGATGGAAGGATGGATGGATGAGTGAATGTGGAGTGAGTGAAATAGTTGGGTTGTTCAGAAGTGTGTAAACTATCAAGAAATGGCTAATAAGACACATGGTTCCCACTGGTTGGAGAGGAACCCTTGGGATCTAAGATAATAGCCTGTGTTTTAACGGAGACACAGGATGGCTTTGGAACCCTCAGTTCCCTCTGGTCCTGCCTGCTGACTGCTGGTGTCTGGTGCATTCTCAGCCCATCACCCTCACTGAAGCAGTGGCCCCTGGCTCACTGTACCTTCTTTGGCAGGTAGCAAGTCAGGAAGCAAGGTAGCAGGGTCAGTGTGGCTTCTTCCCACCCGTCAGTGGCTGGCCAGGGTCAGGCTGGAAGCAAAGTGGCCCACAGGGCTAGGGGACAAGGCTTCCCTGGTGTCAGAACTCCAGTAGGGAAAGTAGGTACTTTCTGTGTCCCGGTCATAAGAAGGCAAAGCAGACTAGGTAGAGGTCAGCACTAGACCAAGGTTAGATGGCAGCTGTCAGTCAACCTTGGAATGAAGCCGGTTGTGCAGATGTGCTCCCCAGCACTGGGATATGCAATGATTGCACACACACTCTCCACCACAGGTGAAAGATGAGCCAGTGAACCCATGTCTCTTAATGCAGGCACTGTACCCAGATGCCTGCCCAGGTTTTTAAGTCTCCAGATGTTTCCCATAGCTTCCGGAGTTCAGAACTGTGAGGTGTGACAGGGACTCTAAAACAGGTGAAAGCATGGGACATGGGGAAAAGAAAGATGCTGGGCAGGGCTACTTATGTCATGAAGTTCCAGAAGGTTCTACAGTACACCTGGTACAGAAGAGGAAGGAAGGAAAGAGGGGAGGCCAGCCACACATCTTCAAATGTGAGAAACAGATAACTGGAGGGAAGGGAAACATTGTAACGAAAGGTTCATAGCCTTACAACTTTCAGAGACTTCTTGAAAATCCTTAAGATGAGCATTATGTGGAAAAACAGACTGCGGACATGAACCAACAGTTCCAAAGGAAGAAACACAATGGGCTGATGACTGCTCAGCCTCACCAGTCATTGAATAAATGCAAATTACAACGACAAAGAGACGCTATCTTTTGCCTAGCTAATTGGTAGAGATTAAAAATGAGATAATACCTTAAGATGGTGAGGGTGTGGGAAACAAACAAAAAAAAACAAAAAACAAAAAACAGGCCCTGTCATGTGGATCAGAGTAGCCTTTCCAGGGGGCAATCTGGCAGAACAAAATGACTTTCATGGGAATCATTGCTGAGAAAGACTGCATGGCCTTTAACACAGCAATCCCACTTTTAGGAAGATCGCCTTAGGAAACAATTGTGGATAGTAATAATAACAGGCAAGCTTTATTACATGCGCTCCCTCCGCATGCCAGGTTCTACATGCATCATCTCATGCAGTCCTCACAGCCATCCCACGAGGTATCAGCTGTTCTGTGTCTCCTGTAGTTTACAGATGAGAAAAGCTGAAGCACGCAAGAATTAGGTCAGTGACCTCAGAACACTAAGCTAACTAACAGCCAGACCTAGACTAGAACTCAGACAATCTGTGTCCCCTGGATGTAGGCAAGAATGAAGCCACAAGGAAGGCCCTCAGGGCTTGATTTGTAATGGGTGCATGGGGAGGGCATGCTAAGCACTTCCCAACAGCAATAAGTTACATAAATTATGATACACCCACACGGGAATATTATGCAAGTGTGAAAAGTGATTCTGTGGAAAAATATTTGTGTGAGTGCCAGGGAAATTTTTTTTGTATTCATAAACGATCTCTAAAAGGATATCAAAGAAACTGATAAAATTAGTTATCTCCTGGCTATTCTGAGAAGCTAGAGAGAGATTTGTTTTATATAATATGTATTCTTCTAACATTTGAATCATGTGACTATACTGTGTTAAAATACATACACCTATGCACATATACACATGTAAGTAACAATGTAGAACTCTGTTCCCCAGAAGTGCTATTGAGAATCCCCAAAAAAGTTTTAGTCCATACTCAGTCAGACCAAGGTAAATGAAGGCCCTTCCTGGACTGCATCCATCCATGTCTTCCCCAAACCGGCTTCATTATCGAACCCTTTTCTGTCTTGCAAGATAGGTTTTGAAAATGCTGTTTTTGATACTGAACACGGAGGTGAAAAGGTTGCATTGTTTCTTTAAATGAAAGAATCATGTTACTGGCACTGGTCCCATTTTGCTTAAAAATAGCGTGTGTACGCACGTGCTGATTTTCAAGTACTGAAATAGTGGCTAGTTTTGTTCGCCTCTGCCTACTCATTGTGTTTTGTCATTTTCTAAGCTGAACAAAATGACCTTCCCAGGTGTCTGTGCTTCCACCTAGCCCAACAACACATTTTCAAAGACCGCTTTCCTGCACTTCCCTTCGGGTCTCTGGGTCTCACTCTAGTCCCCTCCCACTTGTGAGCAGACTTGCCTATAAGTTAGGAAAGAAACTCTACCTCTAGCAAGCACTTTCTCCTGCAGCCTCTAGCCCACTGGCAGGGCTCTAAGCTACAGTGGAAGAAAGGACTGGTGACTGATGATGGCGGTGGGACTAGCCGTCCCCAGGCCGTTCCTGGCCCTGTTACACACTCCCTCACACTAATGGGAGGACTCAAATCCAGGTTGTGCATTCCTCAGTGAGAGGCATGGCTCCAAAAGCAGACACTAGCCTGCCACCTGTCCTACACGCTGCAAACCAAAACACCCAGGCTTTGGCCTCAGCCCTGTGGCTGTGTGGTCTCAGAGTTTCTGAACCTCTGAGTCAGCTCCAGCACACTGGAGTGTGACACTTGCCACAAAGAGTGTGCATGGAAAGTTGCCTGTTCTAGGAAGGGACATCTCAGTGCAAATTATTGATATGTGACTCAGCAGGTAGCCCTCCATGCCCTCACCTTGCTGGGGACAAAGTACTCTGTGTGTGTGTGTGTGTGTTTTAAGGATGGCACAGAGTGGCACAAAGGGGTGGCATTTGGGAATCTAGCATGTGTGGGAACAACCTGGGGTTTCAGAAACAGAGGAGAGAGCCTGGATCTTGCTGTGCAGGCCTGGGCCAATGCCCACCGGTATAGCTGCTCTCCGTTACCCTTTGACAGCCACTACTCTGGCTCACATTCCTTCAGCTCAGAGCTTCCCCAGCCTGACTCACCTCCTCACTTTCCTCCACATCCACTCCTTTAGCTCTTAGCTGCCTGAGCCCTGTCCCCAGGGCCAGGATTAGGAATGCTCCTCTGGGCACTGCTGCCCAGCCCCCCCCCCCCAGCATACTGCAGTGGCAATGCCAGGTTACAGTGCTGTGCTAGGCTGCCATTTATGGAAGCGGTAGCGAAGTCTACCTCTGTCTTCCTGCGTCTCCTGGGTTCAGCACAGAGGAAGTGAAGGCAGAGACAGGAGTTAGGTCATGAACACCAGGTCATGATCTGGATTTGAACCTCAGGTCCATTACTGACCCTCAGGGGATGACTCCACTCTTCTAAGCCTCAGTTTCCCTGTCTATAAATGGGTTTAAACACTGCAGTCATGGGGTTGTGAAGGTTTTACAAGCGAATGTGAAGCTCTTGGTCCCACCCCAAGGCCAGAGAAGTGGCCAGAAGTAGCAGGACTGTGTTCCCATTGCAGACTCTAAATGCAGGTTGAGTTGGACTAAAGAAAAATGCCAGGAGGGGCGGCTTCTGACCTCCTCAGTTCCAGCCTTAAGATGAGGACTCTTACTGCTCATGCCCAGAACTGTCCCTACCACCCCCACACTCACCTGCCTGCCTTGCACCCCACAGCCACCCGGCCCAAGCTGAAGAAGATGAAGAGCCAGACAGGAGAGGTGGGCGAGAAGCAGTCGCTGAAGTGTGAGGCATCAGCGGGGAACCCACAGCCCTCCTACCGCTGGTTCAAAGACGGCAAAGAGCTCAACCGGAGTCGTGATATCCGCATCAAGTACGGCAATGGCAGGTGAGCAGTACCACTTGCCCTCCATCCCACCAGCTTCTGGTCCTAGAAGGGAGGACCAGAGCCATATCCCCAAACTCAGCATGGAACCAGCCAGGTCCCACCCACCATGCATCCCTTCCTTACCACACCCAGTGCTTCCCTGGCTGATGAACCCTTCGGGCCAGACTTGCCCTGGTATTGCAGCTCATGAACAAGAATTGAGCAATTTCCAAGGCTGAGGATGTCGCTCCATGGATACAGTGCTTGCTTAGCATGCACAAAGCCTTGGGTTCAAACCTAGCACCATAAAACCAGGTGTGGTGACACACGCCTTTGATCCCAGCACTTGGGAGGTGGAGTTAGGAGGATCAGAAGTTCAAGGTCATCCTCGGCTACGTAGCAAGTTGAGACCAGTTTTGGCTAGATGAGACCCTGTCTCATTGAAAAAAAAGAAGTAATTTATGTGTCTGAAGGTTGGAGGCTGTTTGACTCTGAGCTGTCTTTAGCAGAAGTCTTGCTTATCAAAAGACTTAGCATCCATCTGAGGGATCCTGAATCTGGCAGTCTGAGGCGAAAGACCCTGTCTGTGGAAAGCCTTTGGGAAGTCACATAAAAGGCTGGAGGCCTGACCTAGCAAGCTGTCACTTGTAGAGAGCTTAGTAACTGGGAAGAGACCATCAGGGATCTACCTGCAACACCTCCCCATTACATGAAGATTGTCTTTAGTCCTGAATGAATATTTCAGGAAGAAGCATGGTATGCACACTCCCTGAGTCCTTAGGCTAGGGAAAATCCCCTCACCTTCATCTAGGCAGAGGGCAGGAGGTGCCAGGAGAGCCAGGAGTCCAAGGCAGCTCCTACCTGTCTTCCATTAAACACAGTTCTACCTGACATTTCTCTGTGGGCTCTAGGGTCTAGGTAGACATTCTACTCCAACAAAGGAGCCCCTCAAGCATTGTCTGCCCTCACCACCTAGAGTAGCTTGCAACTACATCCTTTGGAGATATCATTTTCCTCCAACCCTCCACAAAATGCAAGCAACAGTATTTAAATTTTTAGAGCTCATTGGCCTACACTAACAGAAAGTGTTAGGCAAAGGTCCAGGACCAGGTTGCCCCTACCTCACCTCAGCCTGAGAAAAGAAATGGGGTTCAGGAGCTTCGCTCTGTCTCTACTCTCCTTCCAAGACATGAACCTGGGAAAAGGACAGAAAGTGGCCCAGGCAAAAAGTTATGCAGGACGGATTTAGATAAGGGTCTGTGGCTCTAAGGCTCACTTTTGAGGGACGTATAGTAGTTGGAGAGGTGGCAAAGTTTGGGGTAGGTTCCATGTGTCCCTTGTCTACAACATTGACAAGAAATTCAGTCTAACCACTGCTATACCCCCACTCTTCCCCACTCTGCTGTATATAGTCTTGGTATCAGCCCAGAAAAACTAGTAGACAGGACTCTTGGAGCTAGGGCTGGAGAGGGCACCTCCTCCAGCTTCTCCCTATTTCCTGATCTGTGAAGTCCAGGGAAGGTGCTCACCCTTGTCCTCTGCATTGCTCCCAACATGGCACTTAGACACCCATCCCCATCCCAACACACCATACACCATACCCTCCCTTATGATACACACACACTCATGCATTCACACCGCATTCACACACACTCATGCGCTCACACCACATTCACACACACACTCATGCGCTCACACCACATTCACACACACACCCATGTGCTCACACCACATTCACACACACACTCATGCATTCACACCGCATTCACACACACTCATGCATTCACACCGCATTCACACACACTCATGCGCTCACACCACATTCACACACACACTCATGTGCTCACACCACATTCACACACACACCCATGCATTCACACCACATTCACACACACACACTCATGTGCTCACACCACATTCACACACACACACTCATGTGCTCACACCACATTCACACACACACTCATGTGCTCACACCACATTCACACACACCCATACATTCACACCACATTCACACACACACACACACACGCTCATGCACTCACACATTCACACTCACCCACACACTCATGCACTCACACCACATTCACACACACATTCACACACACTCATGTGCTCACACCACATTCACATTCACACACACTCATGCACTCACACCATGTTCACATACACACACTCATGCACTCACACCACATTCACACACACACTCATGCGCTCATACCACATTCACACACACACACTCATGCACTCACACCATGTTCACACACACACACTCATGCACTTACACCACATGCACACACATTCACACACACACCCACTCTGCTGAGATACCACCAGTCCCTGCCTTTCTTTGGTAATGTTAGCCTCTCTTCCTCTCCCTCCCAGCAGACTTCATCCTGTCCACCCTCTTCCAAGCCACTCTCCCTGGCTGCTGTCCCTTCCCACTTCCAGCTGTCGCCTGCCTCCCTTGTCCTTCCACCACTATGAGAATCACCCCAGGCCCCTGATCCACACTTTCCTTCCTCTGTCCACACTGCTTTACCCAAGCAGCCTGCCCAGCACATCCCAGCTCTTCCACCCCACCTGACCCCTGGGCTCCCAATTCTGGGAGCTCGGCCTCCCCAGCCTCTTCCTGTGGCTTCCCTGCTGTCCCTCCTGTGAGTCAGACCTCTCTCCCAGAGTCCACTGGTGCTGGGCTTTCTAACATCCTGGGCTTCGCTGCTGTCTCCCTGCCCACCCGTGGGTGATGCCACCCTCTTATGGCTTTACATCTCTGAGACCCCAGGCCTCCTCCCCACCCTACCCCACCCCACCCCCGCCTCAGGCCCCTTTGTGAATTAATTGGTGCAGCTAACCTGTGGATATAGAGTATTGACTATGTGTCAAGAATTCTGTTAGAGGTTTGGAATACACTGGTGAACATGACAGCTGTGGCCACTGCCTTCATGAGGATCTGAGCCAATTTCCAATATAGACTCTGGTATAATAATAATAATAGCAATAATAAAAGCTTCCACCCATTTTTCAGAAAATAAATTGAACCTCTTACATCCTGTTTTGCCTATGATTCTAGTTCTCAGCCCCCTGCGAGCATGTGCAAAGATGATCCTTTCCACCCCAGACCCCCATGAAATCACCGCTTCCTTATTTGACAACTTTGGGGCCCTTCCAATCCTTGCTGGCCTAAACATCACACCACCCTGCTGATCTGTCCCTACTAGAGGTCCAACCCCTGATCTTTCTTTTCACAACCCTGGACTTGGGCCCAGGCTGTCCCCTGTGCTAGGAAAACTGTACCTCTTGTCCCTGGCAAAGCCCTCCAAGGGCCAGCATAAATGCTGGGACTCGGGAATCTCTATGTGCCCAGTCCCTGTGTGCCCTGAGGGTTCTTTAGCCATAGCTTCACCTCACCATTGACAACCCATCATTTCTCCTCAGAGGAGCACCTCTGCCTCCTGCTCCCCTGTAACCCTGGAAGCAGAGACCCATATTCAGCGTGAGGCTGACAAGAACCTCCCAGGGCTGGCCCTTCTCTCCTGTGTGTGAGGTTGTCCTTCAAGAAGCTGAAGAGGGGCCCCTATGGATAGTCCAACCTTCTAAACAATTTACTTCCTTAAAGCCCAGGTTCGCCTGACACATAGGTGACCTAATCCAGAGACAAGGCCAAGGTCTTTCCCTTAAGGCTGAAGTATGGCATGGCCCCTTCCCCACATGCTGCCTTCTGAGATGTCTATCCCTTGTCCTGTCCCTGGGCTCCCAGCAGTAAACTGTTAGCTGTGGAGTAGTGGGCCATGACAGGGAACTTCTGATTATACAAAGTCTCTCAAAACGACTTCAGGAGAACTGCCACCTCTCCATACCACCCACTCCCCCACTGCGCACACCTCACCGACACAGATCTAGGAGTGCCCTTTCTGACGAACCTTTCTCTGTCCTTCCTGCCTGAGCGTCTCGTGCTCTACCTGCCCAGGCTACATCCAGGGTTGGCATCTCTGTTTGCTGGCAGAGACTGCCTTCCTGACAGGGGCTGACTGTCTCTGTGCCTGCCAAATTGCAGTGTCATCCAGACCTTCCTGAGCCAGGAGAACACTTGCCCCCCAAGCCCAGGGCACAGGCCCTCCCCTGCAGAAGCACATGTTCCTTTATTTATGAGAGGCAGGCTGAGACAGGCCCCTCAGGCAGGCCGGGGGGGGGGGGCACTGAGGAAAGTGTGGGGTTGCCCAGATCCTGTCCCTGCCAGCAGAGAACCGGCTAGGGAGGATAGGACAGCACCCTTAGCAGGGGCAGACCTGGGTCAACACATTGATGGGGTGGCAGGGGTGTGCACCCTGCCTCCCTTCCAGGAAGGCAAGGAGAGAACCCTGAATCCTAAGGGCTCCAGACAGAGCTAAGAATGAGGAGAGTATGGAGTCCCAGAAACTTCAAGGCCATCCTCAGCTATAGCTCTGGATCCCATTTCCCCCAAGACCTCTGGGGCCCCAGTGATGCCTAACCCTGCCATACCTGAGAGTTGTTGGCTCCTTCTTGCCCAAAGGGGGGCCTTTGCCAGGCGCTGCTGCTCCTTGATCCTGGCCTCATGCACCTTTGGGTGGAGTCCTTCCTCCAAGTCAGTGTTGTTCCTTAGATGTTCTACCTGTCCTGCTACAAATGGCATCTTAGGGGTATAGCTGTGGGTGACCATGAGGATCTTGCTGCCTCTGGGTCCCCTATGCATGAAGTCTCTTGCCCTCAGCTGACACCCCCCCCCCCAGCATGCAAGAAAGTGAAAGGAGCTTTGTCCCAGGGAAATGGGACTCTGGCGTCTAATTAGATTGTGATGGGAAGGGGATGCTCTGCTCGCTTAGCCAGAAGGGCCTCCAGGGCTCTGCTTAATGAAGAAAACGGTTGATAGAGGAGGGCTGTGGACAGGCACAAGCCCAAGGAGAAAGACCAGCATGAACCAGGAATGTTAGGGCATATAGTGAAGTCACTGTCACCACATTGGTGAGGCCATCACCATGGCAGTAAAATCGATCAGTCTACAGTGAGATTTTTGAGAAAAGGCCAATTCTCAAAGTCAGGTAAAGCCAAGATGGAGGTGCTTTCTGCTCAGCTCTCTCCCCATTCCTCCCCCATATCCCAAACCCCATATCCCGTTCCCCATTCTAACCCCAGTCCCTACACCAGCACTGCCCATGCTCTTCTGCAGGACAGTGGCAGCTTGGCTATACCCTGCCCATACTCCAGCCAACTGTGCATATGCAAGGAATCTGGTTTTTTGATCATCACTAAAAAGAAGAGGAGGTCACAGTAAAGACACTATGTCCTTTCTGGAGTCCCTGGCTTTATCCAGAGCACTTTCTGGGCCCCAGAGAGCATCAGATGCAGGAAGGGTAGGGAGCTATGAGCAGAGCCTTGCAGAACCAAGACACCCAGAGTAGGTGCAGCGAAGCCTTGAGGAGGAAGCAAGGTTTGGTCAGGGCTTCAGAAAGAAGCCAACGGCAGATGCTCTGAAGTCACAGCTTGGAGAAGGGACTTTTAGCACCTGGCCTCAGACCACTCAAGTGAGAGACTAGACGAAGAGGCTAGCCCTAGTTTCTGGTGTCTTCACTGACTACAGCTCCTGGTCACCTTGGCTTTGCCTTGCCAGACTTAGTTTGCCCATATGTAAGAGGACAGCCTACTTCGCCCTGAGGCTCCAGACCCTGGAGTCCACAGTTTCCAGCATATGGGAGATGCTTGTTACACATTTGTGGAAGGAGTTAAACGAAATCCTCTTGGAGAGGCTACAGAGGGCTCCTCAATGGCAAGGCTGAATGGACAAACAGTAGGAGAGAGACTTGGACTGGTGTCCTGGAGCGGTACAGATGTCACTGAAGCTATCAGACGGGTCCCTCCCAGGTACCCAGGAGTTGGAGTCCATTCTGCTGCTCTAACAGTGTATCCAGAGGGGTTCATTTACAAACAGTAGGGATGTGTGTGGCCCTTGTTTGTAGAGTCTGGGACTCCAAAATCAAGGGATGAGGGCCTTCTCAATATGTGTCCTCATGACCGGCTATCACCACTGCAGCGGGGACCAGTGGACTTTGAGAAACCCTAACACACAATGACAATCTGCTACTTCCATACATGGCAAAGGCAGCTAGGAATGAAAGGTGGCTTCCCAGGGGGCCTGGCGTTCTTTCCCAAGATAAATGACAGAAAGAAACCCAGCCCCAAGAAAAGAGATAGGAAATTCATAGAGTTAGAACATGAGCGTCATGGCTCGATTGACCATGTTGTTGCCCTGAGGGTTCAAGTCACTCCAGAAAAAGCTGGCCTAAGGGACCTTCTTCTCACCCAGCCGACACAGCCATTTGGTTCTGTGAAGTGACCATTCAGTGACTGCTGATAAAGCTCCAGCAGCCCTGGCTCACACCTCTCTCCCTCTTTCCTCTCCCAAACCAGAAAGAACTCACGCCTCCAGTTCAACAAAGTGAAGCTGGAAGATGCTGGGGAGTATGTCTGCGAGGCTGAGAACATCCTTGGGAAAGACACCGTGAGGGGCCGCCTCCATGTTAACAGCGGTAGGTGGCCCTCAAGAAAGGGGGGGGGGGGTAGAGTAGATCAGCTGGCCCTCAGGAGACCTGCATGAGATCTATCTTACTCTCAACTCCCTCCCTCCTGCTGCTGCATATCAAATCCAAGATCTCAGCCAATTCAGAGAAATGCAGTCAAAGCATAAATGTTTAGTTTTGTTATCTGGGCCTGGAAGAGCCGCCAACTCTCATTTTAAATACCCTGAAAACTAAATATTTTGAAATCAAGAGGTGGGGGTGGGGGTAAGGATATTTTTAGAAGGCAATTACGGAGGCTGGGCTGTCAGGAGCAAGGCTGTGGGAGAGATGGGCCTGAGGTGGGTGTGAGCTGCTTGCCTGTGGCCAGCAGCATTGTTGGGCACCTGAGCCAGGCCTCAGGGTGGGAGGCTTGGGTGCTTGGGGCCTGTGGGCAGCCAGCCTCCACTTAGGGATAACAGGCCTGGCTCGCTGACCCTGTGCCCTCTTTGGAGACTTACAAAGGAGGGCCTCAGAGCTGTTTGGTTTGCTGGCTTGCAGTGTCTGGTGCAGCAGAATAGAGAACACCTTTCTGCTGGGTGGTCCTCTCAGGCCCCGGTTTGGGACCTGTAAAGTCATCTCTCCTCCCTGCCCAAGCTGGGCACCCACAGACTGAGCCCACTATGTAGGGTTTGCTGTTCACCATGTCCTGTCCCTGGCATAGGGTCTGATCCTGTGTATGTTGCCGCCTGACTACATTACCACCACACAGCCTTGAAATGCACCCCAGACCCAGGGCTCACTCAAAGGGGACCCTGCTGCATTACCAAGGCCACAAGGCAGACCAGATCCTGTCTGCCCTACGCTCATGGGAGATGCCTCAGGCTTCTGTCGTCTAGATCTTTGTCACACTTGTCCCTTCCACTCTATTCCCTATGAGCCACCGTGGCTCAGGCTTTGTCCCCAGCTCACACGTGAGTCACAGCAATGGGCTTTTAAGGTGCCTTCCTGAAGCCACACCTTCCCATGGAGCCTCCTCACCGGGACTTACTCCTTTCCTATCTGACCCCAAGATCATGTCATCCCCAGATGAACTCGCTCTCCTTTACCAGGCCCCATCCATAACCCCCCCCCAGCAGCTTTTCTCCTTGACCACTGCAGTGTTACTTTGGGTCTATAACCAATCCTGGGCATCTCTTGGATTCTAGCCTTAGACCCCATAATGTTGTTGCATTTGTTCTGTGCTTGAACCACCCAACTCAGGAGGAGCCTTAGAGAAATGACAAGAACAGGGATGATGCTATCCCCTGAAAGTCCTGGTCAGGTCTACTGTTTGCTGAGCCATAATCTATCTGCATTGTCTCTAGGACCCTTCTTTGGGAGAGGCTTCAGGCACTTTGCCTGAAGTCGAACAGCTTGTTATAGTGAGAAAGTCATTAGTAAACTTGGTCCTGCCTGGCACTCCATGAATCTGTTTACTAGTCTGGCCTCAGGGCCTAGCACAATGCCTACCTCACAAGAGGTAGCCGGTAAATGTTATATTAAAGAAGTTACAACCTAGGGCTAGAAATGTAGTTCAGTGGGAGAGCTCTCACTTGGCATGTACAAGGCCTGAATTTCTTGTTGTTTGTTTTGTTTTTTAGCTTTTTGTGACAGGGTTTCTCTGTGTAGCCCTGGCTGTCCTGGAACTCACTCTGTAGACCAGGCTGGCCTTGAACTCACAGAGATCCACCCGCCTCTGCCTACTAAGTGCTGAGATTAAAGCATGTACCACCATGCCCAACTTTTAATATCATTTTTTAATTAAAAAAAGAAAAGAAAGAGGGAGCTATCCCAAGGCCTTTGTGGCCTCCTCCATGTCCTGGCCTGAGAACGGGGTCAGAGGCAAGTGCCTGGATCCAGTGGCTCTCAAGTTGTCCCGCTGGAATGTACCTGGGATTAGCACCTACCACATCTGCTGCAGTGGACAGACATCCTCTAATCCACCTTGAACTTTGGGTCTCCCGTTTTATTAAGGAAGACTTTCTGGGTCAGAACTGACAAGTATCCAGCTTAAACCGACCCTGAGAAAATCATGTACTGGCTCATGAAACTAGGAAGTCCATAGGCCATGCTGGCTACAGATGGAAAAGACTCCAAGAGCTGGGAGTGGGTTTGTTTCTTGCTTTCCTACTATGAAACAGCACCTACTGTATTTAGGGAGTGTAGCAGAAAGAGAAGGCACCACCCCCAGAGAGTTCCACCTCAGCCAGCCCCCATCCCTGGGACTTCCTGGGGCAGGAACGGGAATGGATTCTTATTGGCCCTGCTGAGGTCACCTGCACAGGGCCCTGTTCCTGTGTTCAGGTGCACGGGGCACCATCTTTGCCAGGCTTGTCTGTGTGCACCAGAGTGAGAGACAAAGGAACAGGAAGGGTTCCTGCACAGGACACAGGACGCAGGACGCAGGACGCAGGATGCAGAAGCCGTGCCTTCTCCCTTGGGCAGGGCCAGGGTCTTGAAGGTCTGACTCACCAGTAAGCCGCAGCCCCAGCATGAATGCCCCCTTCAGCCTGCAGCATGTCAAATTTGGATAGACTTCTGAAGCAGACAGTGAACCTTTGGGCTGAGCACAGGGTCTCATGCAGAGATGGGATCCCAGCTGTCCACAGGCTTCAATGCCTCTTGTCCCTGGTGTGAGAGCAGAGACCCAGGGGGTAACAAAAGCTCCAACATCTGCACTGGTTCCAGCTCTGTGTCCCACAGGCTGCCCACTCCTTCCCGTCCTAAAGCTCAGCTTCCCCCTCACAGGCTGAGCTACATGGTGCTAAGCTTCTCCTGAACTGGGATTCTGAGTTTGCTGCTGAGGGTAACATCTGCACCTCACCGACACACTCACATGCATCTTCACACACACGCTAGGCACATCTCTTAGCTTTGGCTACCCTGTCCAGTCCACTCTTGATGTGGAGACATGGTCGTGGACATTTTCCCAAGCAGAGATCCATGGATTTCATGTTTACCAGCAAAACCCAGCAGATCTGCAGCAGCCACACCCTGAGGAGGGGGTGGAGGGCGGGCATCGGGCAGCTGAGCCTGCCCCCAATGACTCATCCCAAGGTGGGTCGGCAGGGCCCGCCCAGGCCCTAGGGAACAGGGCCATAGGGGTAGGGCGTCAAAGGGCATCATCCCACTCTTGAATGGCTACTTACCTCTCCATTAGGGTGGAGCCATAGTCCTCCGGAAATGACAGTTCTGGGTCTCACGGAGCTTCTAGCTTCCCTGGGCTGCCGGGAAAAGGAGTGTGCAGACATAGACAGAGTATGGAACAAAACAGTCTGCATAGTGCAATCTGCTTCTGCCCTACAGAAGCCAGCAACCCTGTCCCAAGTGAAAGGGGACTCCAGACTGTCCCAGGACACCAAGCACAGAGCAGACAGCTTTGGCATGAGTTATAGGACTACAGACTTGTGGTAAAGGCCTCTGGGCAAGGGAGTAGCTGGTTGAACACACCTATACAGACACACGTGAACATGCACCCTCACACCAGTTGTATCCAGCATGACCCCTCTCTGAGTTCCAGAAACGCTCAGCCTTGGTTATCAACACAGAACCTCAAATGACAGAAAGGTAGTCTTAGGCCTGAAAGTGTATGCCTCTCCCAACAAAGTAGAGGGCACACCTGAGCCAAGCAAGAAGGGGCCATTTGCACAGCAAGGCAGGAGCTGGATAGTTCAAGTCAAAGGGCCTGGACCTTAGAGAGGGACAGAAGTTTGCCCATACTAAAAAGAAAAAAGCAGCTGTGGTCCAGAGAGAGAGACTCAGTGTTCCCTGCCGCTCAGTGTCCGTCCCATTTTATCTTCCTCTGAAGGTCCAGGACACCTGCACCATAACACTCATGGCAACTGCTTCCTGGGTTTTCCCCTACTGGGCATGGTTTTAATTAATGTTTTTAGATATAATTCGCATACCATAAAACTTGCCCTCTGAAAGTATGGTTCAGTGGTTTTCAGTATAGTTTCAGAACATTTTCATCATCACCTCAGAAACTCCATGTGTGTTAGCAGTCATCCTACTCCTCTTGCTTTCTGCCCCTGTGGATTAATTTATTGTAGACATTTTGTATAAATATAACCATATTATAAGTGTCCTTCACATATCTTAAGGTCCATCCACGTTGTAGCATGTAAGGGTGCATGTCTTTTATGATGAGATGATACTCTAGTGTGTGAATGCACCACACTTTATCCATCCATTTAACAGTTTGAATTGTTGAATCATTTGGATCACTTCCACATTTGATGAATAATGCTTCTGCGGACATTCATGTTCAGGTGTTTGTAAGCAGGCAAGTTTTCAGGTTTGAGGGTACACCCATGAGTGGAATTTCTTGAGTGTATGGTAACTCTGAGGATTTTAAATTTTTCTTTAAAAAAAAGAAAGGAAGGAAGGAAGTGGTGGTGCACATCTTTAATTCCAGCACTCAGGAAGCAGAGGCAGATGTGAGTTTGAGGCCAGTCTGATCTACAGAGTGAGTTCCAGGTCAGCCAGGGCTACACAGAGAAACCTTCTCAAAAAAGCAAACAAGCAAACAAAAAAACCAACCAAAAAAAAAAGAACTCTCAGACTAGATGTCTAAGCAACCACACCACTGTGCTTTCCCACCAGGTGTGCCCCAGGGCTCTGGTTCCTCCATGCCCTCTCCACCACCTGCTGTTTTCCAGGTCTAGCATTCTAGCCAGTGTAAAGCATTCTAGTCAATGTAAAGCGGTATCTCATTGTGGCTTTGATGGCACACCCCCAACAACCTCTCAGCAGTATTTGCAATTATTGCAAGAGGAGAAAAGGTATTGATGCCCAGGCTGAGGACACTAAACTATGCCCAAGGAAGCAGCAGAGGCCACTTCCCCTCAAGAATCAGATATGTGTTTGTTCATTCTGTCCACAAATAGTAAGCACCTATTCTGTGTCAAGCATTTGGTTAGATGCTGGGGTTTAATGAAACATGATAGAAGTGGCTATGCCCCAAGGGGCTGGGGTTCTAGTGGTGGAGCTACTGATGGCATATTTGGTTACTTTGTCAGTTTAGAATAAACACCACTAGCAGAAGCCTGCTCGATGAACATAAAGATTGTAGCCATCTTGAGAAGCCAGGAGAGGGTACCCTGAGACCTGTGTTTAAAAGGTTCTGGGTAGCAAGGCACCTGGCTTGTTAGAAAAGCTGAAATGAGTGTAGTCAAAATATGTTGAGAGAGCATGACCCCAAAAAAAAAAAAAAAAAATGACAGAAATGTGACAAGGCCCAGATAAGGCTCAATGAAGGGTGGAGGGCCTTGTTCAGACTACAAAGGGACACCGCTAAAGAGCCCTGGCCATGGAAGGGATTAACATAATTTACATATTCTAGTTTTGGGGGGGGTTGTTTTGTTTTTTCTAGACAGGGTTTCTCTGTGACTTTGGAGGCTGTCCTAGAACTAGCTCTTGTAGACCAGGCTAGACTCAAACTCACAGAGCTCTGCCTGCCTCTGCCTCCCGAGTGCTGGAATTAAAGGTGTGAGCCACCGACACCCAGCTAACTTGCGTATTCTAAAGACCAGTGTGGCAGCCAGAGTGAAGGCAAGTGTGAGGCAGGAAGACCAGGAAGTAAGTAGGCCACCCAAGGAAGACATGACTGTGACCTAGACCAGGGGAGGAAGTAGGAGGCCTGAAGGGAGCCTCTTGGGGTGGTGGAGTCTCAGTCCTTGCGGATATTCGGCAGGAAGGAATAAAGAAAAATGAAAGATGCCCTCTGGGACCTTGGGGCTCACAGGCATAGGGAAGAGAGTGGTAGCTGGGAGGCCAGTTTGGACGGACTGGATTGGGGCTTCTGTAGCCATCCCAGCAGAGGCGAGAGAGCAGCCTTCTCACTTAGCAACCCTGCTACCTTTGCTCCTCCCAATAAAAACACTGATGTGTTGACGAGAGGATAAGAACACGTTGCCTAGGGACCTGCCAGGACAGCTATGCTAAAGTGGCGTGGGAAGGTCTCACGGTGACAGAGAATGAGGGAAGCCTGTGGCCACTATTCCCGGACACTTGTATGGCCAGCTCCCCCACACTAACCTCCCTTTTTACCTTTCTGGGCATCAGCCCATGCCGTGCACCACAGACTCTGCACCACAACCGGTGTCCACCTCTCCTGTGGTCCCTCAGTGCACCACAACCCGTGTCCACCTCTCCTGTGGTCCCTCAGTGCACCACAACCCGTGTCCATCTCTCCTGTGGTCCCTGCCACCCCAGCAGTCCCACTGCTGTCCACTGCTCACAGCTTCGCAGAGCAACAGTGAAGACTGACAGCAGGAGGTCTCTGCCGCCATTGCTGCCTGCCGAGGATCCTTGCCGGGCCTGGCAGATCGGGGCCAAGATTCCTCTGGCTTAGCCAAGGCCCCTGGGAGGCTGCAGGCTGTGGTCCACATTCATCGGCTCACGTCAAGCCTTGGTACTGACGTGTTCTTCCACAAGGGACAGGGCATCTGGCAGGAGTACACCACCGAGCCCTAGCGAGGCCCTCGGCCATCCATCCCACGGAGGTGTAACCAAAGGGCAAGACAACCTCTAGGATCTGCCCAGCCCTGGACTTTATAACTTGCAGACGTGACCACTGCATTTGTGTCTCTTCCCTGTCACTTTCTTGGTTTTCTGGGTCTCTGTGACCCAGAAGTGGTGCAAACACCAGTTCAAAGCTTCCTCTCTCTGGCCAGCATGTGGGTCCCAGCTGGGTTTGCGGTAGAGCCTAGGGAGGACCTCAGCAGGGGTGGGTGGAGCCTGAGATGCCAACTCTGCAACAGGCATGGGCTAGAGGGGAGGGCGGGAGCTGGCCCTACCCGCTGAGTTTTATCTGTGAGCTCCTTCAGACATACACAGAGGCAGTGCTGTGTGTACACTCCAGTCCCCCGCGCTCCATCTGTCTCCCTCCACGTCTAAACACTGACGGGGCCAAGCGCCTGCCTGCCCCATCCTCCTCCTCCCACCTCCTCCCCATTGCGATGGGAGCAATGGAGGCTGCTACCCCAGAGAGATAAGGGGAGCCAAGGTGGAGCGGGACACCTCAGTCAGAGGACCACCTCATGGCAGGAGCGAGAGACCCTCAGAGCCCCAGAGGACAGAAGGGAAGCAGGGACTCCTTTTTAGCAGCATATTCTGGAAAGCCAGGGTGAAGTGTGCCTTACAAAAGAGGGTTTTTCATTTAAAGCCAGCTTTCTGGACATGGTCCCCTGGTAAGAGAGCATAGCATTCATTATTTTCATTGACTCAGGCAAGCCTGGTCAGTCAGATGTGTGGCCTGGGTTAGCAACCTGAGAGAGAGCCCAGCCTTTCTCCCCACCCGGTTTTCAAATCCCAGCTGTTCCCTGCTCCCGTCCCTCTCCCAGCCACATCTCCTGGAGTTCATGATTTATAGCTTAGACTGTCAAAGGTTCCCTCCACAGGCACAGCTGACTAGGAAGGAGCTTTCTGGTGGGGGACATGAAGGAGACACTGGACAGTTCTAGAGGCAAGACATGGCGGCCTTCACTAACATCCCCGACCTGGGACAAGAAGGAAGAGATTGGAAACCCAAATCCACCCCCCCCACACACACACACACCTTCCCAGAGCTCAGAAAATGACAATATCCAGAAGGTGTCATTTCTCTGGGTCCCCTGGTCCACAGTAAGAATCTGAGTAGTGTAGATGGATACAGGCGTCTCCCCGCTAAGCCATGTCCACATCAGCATCTAGTCCTGTAGTGGAGCTCCCAGGAGGGAGATAGGAGTGGAGCAGAGGTCAGACCCTCTGCCAGTGGAGAAGCCCATTCCGTTCTCTTCCACCCTCCCAAAACAATGAAAAACACTCTGGGTTTTGTGGGTTTGCCAAGAGCATGAATACAGAGTCACACCGGGCAGATGGCCCCTTGTGGCTTCCCATTTGCCTTGTTGCCCACCAAGAGATTCCCGCCTAGACCTTCCCTACCCAGGCATTCCTGCAGACCCTAGTGACCTTCCAGTTGAGATGGGAACGTGAAAGAACACGAAGGAAGTGATCCCTGGGCCCAGCGGTGGTCTTGCTGGGTCACTAGCACGTGTCTCTCATACCTCCAGTGAGCACCACTCTGTCATCGTGGTCGGGGCATGCCCGGAAGTGCAACGAGACAGCCAAGTCCTACTGTGTGAATGGAGGCGTGTGCTACTACATCGAGGGCATCAACCAGCTCTCCTGCAAGTAAGTGACCGGTAGTGGTGGGCACAGGGCCAAGGGGAGGGGCGGGAGGGGGTGCTGGGACAGAAATGGAGGGCTCTAGGAAAAGCGAGCTTCAAAGTTCCTTGGAAGTGATCCCCAAGGGGCACAGACAGGGTGGTTCATCCACTTTCTTCTAGTCCTTTCTGGACTCTAAAGATATGTATGCTCTAAGGGGTGTGTGGACCCCTGCAGACCCAGTTTCCTAGGTTCTTATTACCCTCTCTCCCGATGTCCATCTCTTACCACCCTGCAGGGATGGGGTTACCTGTCTAAGGCACTGGGTGTTTGCTCTCTCTCTCTCTCTCTCTTTCCTTGCCCCTCTCTCCCTCCCCCCTCCCCGCTTTCTTTCTTCCCCATCTCTGAGCAACTCTCCACATTTGTCCTGGGTGAGCATGTCCCAGCTGCATCTTCTCCAGTAGAAACAAGCCTGGAAGACTTGGGCTGCAGAGCCCTTGGCACCTGCTGACCCCACTCTCGTTGTCTAGAAGGGAAATAGGGTTTACCCAGAGCCCAGTGCTGGCCTCAGATCTGGCTGCTCTCCCTGCCCTGGTGAACCCCAGGGGCCAGTCCTGCCCTGAGCATTGCTTGTGCCATTTTAACCCAGTCCCTCTCTACGGAAGGCGGGGACTGCAACCAGGACACCACTATGAGATGGCCCAATGGAAGAGGTGAGAGTAACCCAAGCAGGAACTCCAAGCCACTCAGAACCCACTATCCACACCATAGCACACATGCTCAGTGTGAATCAGATGCTCAGTGTGAATCAGGCTACCGGGGAGTTTTTTCTCAGTCCCAGCAGATCCTCCCGCATGTGTATGGGGAGAACGACACAAACTGGATGTGGACGGCTCTGGCCAGATCTTAAGGAGGAACAGGAAGGGGGTCTAGTCCATAACTCGGATTTCTCAAAGCAGCCTGTGCCAAGGGCCCCAAACTAGGTGCCAAAACTGCCCCATTCCCATGGCATCTGGGCAAAGACCACCAAAGTGTTGCTAGTTTAGGAAGAGGGCTTTGACCTCCTGGTAGGACAGGGCAGATCTTGCACCCCTCACTGGCTTGGCCTTTCTAAGAATGTGATCCTGCAGAGGACTCTGGGACTTTAAAGAACCTTCCAGAAGCCAACAGGATCCCAGTGTCCATGTCTCCTCCCATTGTCCTGTGGGGCAAGAGAGCCCGGGGGCACTGCCAGACAGAACTGTGGCTCTGACCCCAGCTGGCCTCCTCACTGGCTTCCTCCATGCCCCACCCTTCACTGCCCTCACCCCCTTCCCACCCTCCTTCCTCCTGAACCCCTCAGGGAAGTTCCGAGAGCAACAAGTACCCTAGGGAGGGTCAAGGGCTGGCCTTGGCTTCTAAGAGGCAGCCAGAAGAGCAGTCCAGGCCCAGAGAATCATCGCAGCCTTGCAAATGCTCTGGGCTCTTTCGAACAGACCTTCTAGAGACGCAAAAGCTCCCAGCATGCCTCACGGAGATGTCCCCGCCCTGAGTCTCCTTCCCCTCTACCACACCAGGTCTCTCTTCTTCCTTAGCCCCTTGGACCCCTGACCCTTCAAAGAAGCCAGCATTGTCACTGAAGTCAGCCCTGGCTGCAGGCAGGAAAGGCTTTGCCCCCCCCCCACCCCCAGGATAGGTACAAGGACAAAGTAGGTCACCGGAACCCAGGCTCCAAGATGGAGTGTAGTGTGAGAAAGGGAAGCATGAGACAATGGCTCCCAGGAGAAACTACCAACATGACCGTGCCCCTAGGATTCAGGGACATGCCCTGCTACGATTGGAAGGCCTAGGGAGAAGGGCCTGAGCCCTGGTGAACCAGAGGGTGCCCTGTTTCCTCCCCAACCTGGGGCAACTGGGTTTCAAATGTGAGCTTGGCAACCAGAGCCACCACTTCCCCATCTTTGTCCCCTGGGTCAGCCCTAGTCAAGGCTCCACAACCCACTTCCCTGGACCCCTTTGTCACATGCCAGAAAGAGGGACATCCCTGGCTGGGCCTGCAGTCCTTGGAGCTGTGCTGGAGAAGGGCAGGGGGAGGGGGCCGGGCAGAGCCCAGAGGCCACTCTGAGGGTGGGAAACTGGGTGGAAGAGGGCAGGCCTCTTGGGGTCTATGATAGCACCTGAATGGAGTAAAAAGGGAAGAATTTAGGAAACGGGACTCACGTCTACCATTTGTGCTGTTTGTTTACTTTTTATTTTGATTTTTTTGCATTTCCGCTTAGCTTGGATAATGAAACTACACTGGTCAGTTTCATTCCAGTTTCTATAAAGCTCAGTTTTCCTTCCTGGTTTTCTTACCCTTGTTGCTGTGTTGGTTCAGAGCCCCCCCCCAGGGGGTGTTGGAAAGCAGGCAGGCACACTCCGTAACTCTTTTGTTTTTCTGGAAGTCAGTGCCAAAAGAAACAATGTCACTGATACTGAATTTTGTTTTAAAAAAGACAACTTAAGGGGACTTGAAAATGGGGGTCCAAATCAAGGTGACTGTCTTCTGTCTGGGCCAGACAGGGACCTCCACAGTTCCTCTTGCCGTTTTCTCCTCTTCTCTCCGTGTGTTTGTTGAGCACGGTTGGTGCGTGACTCTTGGGGACTGGTTCAGGGGATGATGACAGAACAAGACTCTCTTTCCAGCCCTGTGCACATACCAGTGGCATGCCTCCCTCTCCCATCAGCTCACCCCCTCATCTCCCAGCTTCCCACCCCATCCCACCCCATCTGCCTGCTCATCCTCACCACATCTCCACCTGCCCTCGTGAGCTCCGAGACCCTGGCTCCCTCCAGTGCCTGGGGCACCGCCTCATCCTTCACCCTTCCTTCCCCAGGTGAGGGCAGCACACATGGCATTATCCCCAGGCTACCAAAAGGAGAAACTGAGGCCCGGGAGGCGGGTGGGGAATGGGGACCCCTGCACCCCAGATGCAGCCCGTGGGCTCTCCCCTCTGCCCCTTCTCTCACCTCTGCTCTTCTCCAGCCCCAGGTCCAGACCTTCTCAAACTCAGGGGTGATGCCTGTAGGAAGGTCTAGGAAGGCTGCGGCCTGCTGCCCCTTCCAGCCCATTCCCTATCCCCTGAACTTCGCAGGGTCATCCCTGCGTGGGAGCCACCAGCCAGGACAGACTCACTCACTCCCAGTACAGACTCCTGTCATATGTCGATAGGGGAAGTGCCTGGCTCCTGCTCTCCTGATCTGGCTGTAGGGCAGAAAGGTCAAAGGCCCTGCTCAAACCTAGAACTTTCCCTAAAGTCCGAGTCTCCACACACAGGACTGCAGAGAGAAGTAGGGGTATTCAGGAGCTCCTAAAGAAGCTAGCGCCCCCAAGGGGTAGCACTGGCTATCAGCCCTTCGCCGCCCTGAGCCTTTTCTTTATCCATCGAGGAGGAGCACCCCTCTCACAGACAGGTGCAAGGCTAGCACCAGAACATTGCACAAATACCACAGCACATTTGTGTTGTGGATCAGTCAATGGTGCCACCTGGAAGTGTGCAACTCGGTAGCCCTGAGCAGCAGTCAGACTAACCCAGGTTGAATATGAGACAGGGACACAGGGGTGTATTTATAATTGTCACTGGTCTCCAAGACTCATGGGACAGCAGTGCTGATATCAAATAAGTTTCTCTTTGCCCCTTTCTGCCCCTACACTCCACTATTCACACACACACACACACACACACACTACAGTTGCATACACTCATTTCCCCGACTCTAAGAGCCCAGCTAGTGACAGACAGTGGACACAGTCAAGCCTCGTCCTTTCCTTTTACTTAGTAGAATCCGAGAGTCATTTTAGCAACTTCTGGGTCTTTATCCTTTACTCCCAAAGGTGCTTCTGTCTGAAAAAGAACCACTTAACCCTTTCTAGTCCCTATCCCCCACATCAAGGGCCAAGGGTGAAGGAAGACAGCTGAGCCTGGCTGTGGTCAGTTGGGAAGCCTCAGCCATTTCCTCTATCTTCCTGGGCTAAAATGACTAGGGCCGAGGGCCAGGCATCAGAGGGATTGAAGAGGGGCTCCTCCCCTCAGCCACTCTACTCCAGAGTCAGCACGCACTGCGGTTGTCACCCTAATAGCTGTGCTTCCCAGCCAGACCTCCAACTGACCAGGAGCATGTGTGCCCATGTCCTACCATTGCCGTGCCCAGCTCTCCCTCCTCCAATCCAGAGAGCTACCACAGGCCCAAAGAAAGCCCAGCTTTGTGTGCACCAACCCCTGCCACTCCTCGTTTCTCCAAACCAGAGGCCTCAGGGTTCTCATGATTAGCTACCGTAGTCAATGGCTAGCGTCTACCGCAAGGCCAAGGGCCTCTTGTTACATACGGTAGAATAAGGGAGAGAACCCTCACCTCTTGAGGGAGTCTAGGTTGACCAATGTCACACAGTAACCTGGTACTGAGGGGTTACTGTTGATGGGGTGTCCCTAGCTCCTAGGGGAATTCAGGCCAGGCCAACAGAGACCTGTTTCTGAAGAGAGACATGCATAAGGGTCAATGCAGACCTCTCTGGGTTTCTCCCTCAGTAACTGGCCTTCCTGGGGTTCGGGAGAAAGTACAGGACTGGGCATGTCTTCTAGAAATCTACACAACTGGGACTTGCTTAAGGGGAGAGGTGGCAGCCAGAGAACAGAAGGAAGTGTACCTTGAAGGCAAGAGAAGGTCAGGGAGAAGGGGGCGGATGGGTGGTGACTTGGAGTGGCAAGGAAGGCAAGATGCTAGAAGATCTCAGCCAAAGCCAGGCCACGGTGGAAGAAGAGATCCCAAGGAAAGGGCAGGCAGGCCAAGGCTGGCTTCCAGGGGCTCCTGTGTAGAACGGGTTTCCAGGGTCCCCAGTTAGCCTGCTCCCACCCTCCCTCCCCCACACCAGGTGCTGGAAGGTGGCTTTGGGACCCTGGCAATCCCACCTTTCTGCAGCTTCCTTTCCTCACTTAGCTCTTCCCACAGCTCCAGCTTTAAGGCAACATCTCCAAACTGTACCCTGCAAGGGCTCTGAAAAGCTGCCTTCTGTTCCATACCAGCCAGAGCTACAGCACAGCAGCCTGTCTCAAAATACACAGATAAGACTTCCTTGGCCAAACAAGTTTGAAGAGTTCAGTTTTTATTGCTGACAAAGCTTTCCTGAACCCTTCCTATGCTAACAGAGACTGCCACTCTACAGGAGCCCCGGGGGATGGATTTCCCAAACATATTGGCCCACAGATCCCCCTTTGAGAGAACAGATCAAATACCTCCTAGGTCCCTTTGGTCATGAACACACAGTGTGAGCAGCCTAGCGGAATTCTACTTTGAGTTTTTTGGGAGCTGTTTCATAGAGGAGGAAAACCTGCCAGTGTCCTGGAGGGAAGCCTTCAGCAGAGCCCAGAGGAGTGACATCAGGAACTTGTATCCCATAAGTCTGGCTGCCTGGCACCCGGAGGCTACAGTTCTAGCTTCCTGGGGCACCAGGCAGGTAAGAAGGAAAGTTCCCCCAACCAGTAGGACAGTTTAGTCAATAGCCCCCCACCTTCCCCACCCAACTTCCCTAACTCATCCTCCTCTCTGCCCCACCCACCCACCCCATCCCCCACAGAGCCACATGGATTAGAGCGTTTGTTAGGAGACGACAGAGCCCTCCACCCGGCCCCCGACTGCAGCCCCTTCAGCTACCAGTGTGACCCCAAGTGCCTGACTTGGTTTTCTCATTCATCACTGCGCACTTTGATTTCTAACCTTAGCCTCGTGGATGATGCCAGTTTGTTCTGTGATTTTTCCCCTTTTCCTTCTCCAGATGTCCAAACGGATTCTTCGGACAGAGATGTTTGGAGAAACTGCCTTTGCGATTGTACATGCCAGATCCTAAGCAAAGTATGTTTGAAGATACAAACACAAGTCCCCGCTCCTTAGAAAGCTTCCGGGTGCAGTTCCCCAATGTAGGGCGTAGGGTCAGGGGTGTTGGTTGTTTTGATCTTCGGCTGTTATGTTTTGTTTCTCTTTTCTTTTTTGTACTTTGGTTTGTTAGTTCTTTTGTTTTGTTTTGTTTTGTTTTTGTTTTGCTTTGTTTTTCATTTTTTGGCCTAATCCTTGGGTTTAAAGTTCAGGGCTACAGGTAAGGGGCAGAGCGACAAGGCCAGTACAAATGGTAACCGTGGCGAGGAACCTAGCTGGCATTGGCAGGAGCCTGTGCCGGGGTGTTGCAATGCCTGTGTCTTGCTATCCTGGCTCTCTCTTTCTGGTTTTCTTTCTTTTGGTAGGTGTCCTGTGGGATACACCGGGGACAGGTGTCAGCAGTTCGCAATGGTCAACTTCTCCAGTATGTTTCTTTCTTCTATTTCTTTTCTTCCCTGGTGACTGGCAGTCTCCCCATGTGGGAGGGATGAGGGCCTTACTTACCAAGAGATGGAGGGAACAGGGATGTTCTGAGCTCCTCTCAGCCCCCAGTGCTTACCAGTAGCCTCTGCAGAGGAGACAGACAATACACCCCTGTCTCCCCGCCCACCCCCATAAGTCACCTGTATCACCCGAGAATAGCAGCCTGAATTCTCTGCAGCAACAAGCCATGTCCAGGCCTCTCCCCTCTTCTGGGATCAGGCAGCCTGCCAGGTGGAGGAAGAGGCATTTGCAGGGCCCTCCCCTGCCTCTGGTGTAAGGCTGCTGATGGGTCAGGCAGTGAATGTGTGCATGTTTCTGCGGGTATGTTTGAGAGAAGGGAAAAGGTCTCAAAAGCCTGTCTTCTAGTCTGGGCCAGAACGGTTTGTGTTGGGTGTTCTAGGACCAAGACAAAGTGAAAGAGAGCAGGCTCCAGCACAATCGTGTCCATGGATGCCAGAGACATTTGTATGGTTACAGGACGAGGTGGACTGCTGCAGATGCTAACAGACTCGAGGGGAAATTGGTGACTCTTCCTAAGACCTGTCTAGTCTGAACACTATCCAGGGTTCCATGTCCTTTCTTTCTTCCACACCGGGAGAGAATTGGCTAGAAGTGGGCTGTTTTCATTGGAGCCTGGGAGCAGTTCCTGCAAGTACCACCAGGTGGGGTGGGACAGAGCAGTTAGCCTGGGAGCAGTTCCTGCAAGTACCACCAGGTGGGGTGGGACAGAGCAGTTAGCCTCTGGATAGTCAAAAACTTGCTTTGGAACCCTGTGATCTGTTGGCCTTCAAGACCAGAACCATGTCACCCATGCCATCCTGCAGAGCAGACTAGCTCCCTGCTCCTTTTTAGGGAGGACATCTGGGTCCTGTGAGCCATGAGGAACCAGAGAACCCAGAAGGTACTTCGGTGTTGGGAAGGAAAACTCCATTTAAAAAAGGAAGGTAGGAAGGAAGGAAGGAAGGAAGGAAGGAAGGAAGGAAGGAAGGAAAGGTGCCAGTAGGTAGCACATCAGAAAAGAGGTTTAGAGTTTGGGTCTCAGAGTGGGAAGTAAAACCTCGCAATTGTCCTCAGACTATAGGACAAAGCCCAGAAGTATATCTACTGCCCTTAGAAGGAGCATTAGAGCCCCAGCAGGTGAGGGCTGGCAGACCCCTCCAGTCACACGCCATGGAGAAAGAGGGGATAAAAGCAGAATGTGTGAGCAAGATGTGTAGCCTGAAAGAATTCTCTAGAACTCAAGCTCTGGGAGAATTTCAAAATCAGATGCAGCCTATATGGAAAGCTCTTGGGCAGGGGGAGCCTCAAGAAGAAGACAGACAAGGGTAGGCCGGGTGGTAGAGGCAGTGGGCCTCCTGTTCCTTTCCACCCTTGGCCAAGAGCCTCTACAGCTTGGGAGACTGTTCTGGACAGGCAGTCGCAGCCAGCCCTAGGTCAGAGAGCAGCAGAGCCTCCAGAACATGGCCTACTATGCAAAGCCCCTAGATCACATCAGCCTACATCGTTGTGGGAGGGGTGGTGTCATCAGGCCTCTCAGAGCCCAGAAGAAAGCCTGCAAATGCAGCCCCCAGCCTTCCTGCCTGTGTCATCGTACCGTACAGGTGCCTTTATGTGGAGGAGCCCTGTTCTTCAATGTTCTAGTGCATAATGAGTACGAAGACATCATCCTGTGGCCCCTGAAGTCCTCAGCTGCCCATCCAGAAGGGCCAGAAGCCTAGATCCCTAGTCCTGGACCTTATTGACTTGTTCTGGAGTTGTAGAATGAGGACAGAGGCCTGGCAGGCAACAGTGAACATGAAGATGAAGTGTTGCATAGGAGAGGCTTGCCTGAGGGCCTGCCATCATCACGAGAGGGCAGTTTACCATCTCCCAGCTAAGGATGGCGAGGAGGAGGGCGTTGCTGAGAACAGCGTCTGACCCTGCCACCTACCCAGACCACCTCAGACACAGACAAGATTTTCAGAGACTAAGAAAACAGCCTTTGACCCCAGAAACACTTCGAAGTTTCTTCCACTATAGGCCCTGCCCTCCTGAAAGGGAGAGCTGGCCTATCTGTACCCCACATGTGTATGAGCACACACTCCATATACACACAAACACACGTGTGCGCGCACACACACACACACACACAAAGATAGCATGTGCCCATGTCGGCATGTACGTACATCACTTTCTCCTCATCCAGGCATGTTATACTGCCATTGGTTGTATCCAAGACAATAAATTAGCGTATTTACTAAGGAGCCTGACTCTGCCTGAAATACAGCATCAATTTGCTAGTCAATGTGAACATTTCTGGCCTGAGATTCATGGTACCACCCCCATCCTGGCTGAGTGCCATTCAAAACAAAACAAAACAAACAAAACAAAACAAACCATGAGTAGGAAATTGCTCTCCTAACTGCAACAGGCACAGCTGTAGACCCCTCAGCACCTGTCCTCAGGCTTCCCAGGAAGAAAGTCATCTACCTACTGACTAGCCAAACTCTCACACCAGCCACCACAGGCTCACCCTAACTGTGCCCCCGGAGCCCCTGTTGACAGTTTGGTTCCCAAATAAGTGACCTGGTAGAACATTCTCAGAGGGCTTTAAGAGACTTGCTTGCTTCTCCAGATGGCCACCATTCTCAGGAGTAGCCAGACAAGCCTGAGCAGGGACAGCCATAGCTTAGACCCATGGTCCCTTCCAATGTCTGCCTCCCGATTTCCTGCATCACTTTGAGAAAGTATCCTGGCATACAGACTTCACCAACTTTGTCTGAAAGTGAGCTGAGGGACAGCACGTAGAACCTGGTGAAGCTGATCTGCTGTCCCTCAGGTGAGCATGGCTGGACATCAGTACCATCTTCCTGAGTGCTTCGAATACCTAGACTCCAGGATGCGATATTTGGGAACCTCTCTGGGACCCTTGGATCCAGCCAAAGAACCCTGAGATGCACTTAGGGCTTCAAGTAGTCAGCAAAAATGAAAAGAAGCCAAATCCTCAACATCGCCCTAACTTCAGAGTGGCAGAGATGCAGAGGGCTTGTGTTTGAAATGCTGGGCTCAGCACTTCCTTGATGTGGCCTCTGCACAGAACTGGTCATGTCAAAACCCCAGGATCTTCCTCAGAGTTCTCCGGATCAGGGCCTTCTTGGTCTTTGGCTCAGAGTCACCCACCCTCCTGCTCTTTCCAAATACAGAACCCAGTGGGGTCCCTTTCAGAAAGCACCAAGAAGTGGATGAAAATAATGCTCAAGGTGCCCTTCCTCCATAGCGGATGAGAAGTCAAGCCCAGTGCCACACCCTCACCAGGTCTAGGTGACTGCTGTGAAAGTCAGGGAGGGAGTGTGCCCAAGCAGGTGTGAGCAGCGGCCCTGGCATACACGCGTCCTATCCTCCTGTTGGCCAGGCCGCTCACAACAGATTCATGGATCACCCACATCCACACAGCAAGTCAGGGGCAAAGCAGAGGCTCGGGACCGTAGAACAGTGCAGGCTGTACCTGAAAAGGAAAGGCGAGTCTTTAAAACACCACCGAGATTTCTGGGCTCCTACCCAGACCATTTCCCATTGGCCTGAATGGTTCTGAAGCACAGCCAGGTTTTCAGACCTCCCAGGATCCCATGACAAGGCTTGGTCCCCTGCCGCAGCTGGGAGACTGGGACCTAGATAGGTTGGGCATCTCTCAGAGTCACAATGTGACTCCCAGAGCTGACCCTAAGACCAAAGCCCTTTTATTTAACCTCTCAAGATTGTAAGCATCCCCCCTTTCAAAGGCTTGCACTCACACATTCGGGTAACAACCTCACTTCCAACACTGCAATGTGTCTATAGTGTAAGAAGTATGTGTGCTCCACAGATGAACTCACTCTTCCTGGCTCTGAGTGGTAGATGGGTTTGGGTACCACAGTCCACCTCTAGGAGCTTAGGGTATATGGGATGTCAAATGGAGCAATGACTTGCTTCTTGAAGTCTTCTCACCCCATTTTTTCTTCCCTAAGATGCCAAAGCCTGTACTCAGACTGCCAGGAGCTGTGCTAGGACATCTAGGCCTGTGGCACAAGGCAGGGCATGGGGCTGACACATTCATTTTGAACAGATAAAAAGGACCCCAAGAATGAGTGAGGGGTTGACTGACTTCAGGAGGGCCAGAGGATGCTGAAGGGTTGGGACTAGAGCCAGGAGGAGGGGACTGGGCACACCTCCTTGGCCCTCCCGATTCATCCTCTGCTCCTAGGGGACTTTGCCAACTGACTCTTGTGCGTGTACCTTCTCACCAGGTCCTAACTCCATTGCTCACCCTCTAGAGACCCTTCCCTGCCTGCCAACTCTAACATGGCCTCTCTCTTGCCTTCTGGGGGCTCTCAGGGACTGGGGACCAGGGAAGGAGCTCAGGAGGCTGGGAAGGGCACTACTAACCTGCTTTCACCTCACAGGCTGGCTGCCCAGTGTCTGCAGAGTTCTGACCAACGTTTTCTCTCTTTTTCTCTCTCCTACCCTCCCCTTCTCTGTCATTCTCTCTCCCCTGCCCATCTCACTCTCCTTTCTTCTGCACTCCCAGAGCACCTTGGATTTGAATTAAAGGGTATGGAACCTGATTATCACTCTTCGTCATCTGCACAGCCCCCCCCCCCAGCCTCTGACACCAAGACTTGCAGTGTTAGGTTTCCTTTCCTCCCAAAAGAAAAGCAGGGATTCTGAAAATTTCCCTGGTCTCATCAAGATGCTCTAGCATAAACTATGCTGATTTAGAGACAGACAAAAAATCCCACAGACAGCCTGTCAGTAATCAAATCAGACATGGCTACTGGAAGAGCTGTTGTCTCCAGACCGAGGAAGCCTGGTTTGGGGAGCTATGCAGAGAGGCAATTTTCCCATCTCACTCTGGTCCTCTTTCTGTCCTGCATCCATCCCCACTGCTTCATGTCCTCTGCACTAGGCTAGAAACTGACAACATCCCATTGCTCTGTCCCTGCATTGTGTCTGTCTGCCAGGCTCTGCTGTCTGCGTGAGGCTTTCACTCTCTCCGTGATCTGTTCCTTGACGTGTGTGTGTGTGTGTGTGTGTGTGTGTGTGTGTGTGTGCCAGACCACCAAGGGTCTAATCTGTACAGACCCCCACAACTACCCCTCCTCAGAAACTTACAAGTGATTCCCTACATCCCCCACAAAACCACAAACACTGCCCTTTGACCTCAGAAGACTACCTATCTGAAAGAGACTTTGAGGATCAGCATTTTAAACTCTCTGGCTTGGTGCATGGAGACTCCAGCCTAGCCTCAAGTGTACCACTGTGTCATAGCACCAGACACGGGCTCAGGAGTGGTGGGAATGCCGTGGTGGGATGGGGAACATCAGAGACAATATATGTGGAAAGGCTTTTTTCATGGCAGCCCCGGGGAGGTCTTAGTTCCCCAACCAACTAGTACCTGTCAGTTGCTCTCAGTAGAAGGCAAAGCTCAAAGTCTGCATGTGAGTGTCTTTCTGGGTTTCCAGCAATTGTGAGTGGAGAGGAGGGTGGAGGCTGAGATTGTAGTGAGGTGCACAGGAATGAATCTGCAGGTGTGTGTGGATGGTTCTGTTGGGATGGGGGAATGGTAATGTCTGGCTAGCAGGTGTCTCGGGGCAGGACTTCAGGATACAGAAAGGCTGTGGAGTATCTTTGTGTTAAGGCCAGGGCATTTGGTATTGAAACTGCCAGCATGTGGAGGTGAGTGTGGGTGTGTGTCTGTCTGAGGAGGGAATACACTCATCAACCTACCCAATAAATATACACTCAATACCAGAGCTTACCATATATAGCATTCAGAGGAGACAGCAACAAACCAGAAATGCTGTTGACAAGTGATACAGACAAGAAGTAACCTTAGGGGTTGCCTGGGATGCAGTAGAGAACTACTGTGACTAATGACAAAGAAAAAGTTTGTCCTACATAGTGTATCTGGTAGCCATCCCTCCAAATGACTGGAGAAGAGTACTGCAGGCAGGGGACATAGTACTTAGAGGCTTGCCGCATCCAATCAACAGAGATGCTGCCGCTGATTCCAAGCACAACAGGCAACAGATAAGATCCAAATGGAATGTGAAACTGGATAGTCAGGGGCCTTGAAGATACAGGAAGCCCTTGGCTTTTACACTTGCAACGAGAAGCAGCAGACTAGAACGGATTGGCTGCCTTATTACTGGTATCTGCGGAGCACGGGGATGAGTCAGGGTTAGGAGTGGGAACAGACCTGTCAAAGGGTGGCCATCTCTAGTTGAGGGTGCCCCCTCCTGGACTACAGAGGCAGCAGCAAAAATGCTCGCTCTGGTCGGATCCATGACTCACTTGGAAATTAAAGCTGAGATGACTTTCGGGTGGACCAGGGAGGTGGGAAGTGAGGGGTGGCAGGAAGAAAAGTCTCACTAATGATATGGGCAAGCAGGTGTGGAGAAAGCTAGGAACTGGTGTCTCTGATGACCAATAGTTTGGCTGGTCATAGTTCATGAGTTTGAGCCAAGAAGCAGGGAGAAATTAGGGCAGGAGATGGAAATGGGGAATGCATACCCAGAGGACTGAAAGTCTGTCTGGATGATGCCAAGAAAGATTGTAGGAGGAAGAGGACTGGAAGGCCTGCCCATATGGCCTAGGTTAAGAGAAGGAAGTGGCCATTGTAGAAAGATTAATCCACAGAGGAGCCATTGTAGAAAGGCTAATCCACAGAGTTCAACACCAAAGTTCTAGGGGTTCTAGGGCACCAGGCCAAATGGCACAAGACTTTGATAATGTGGAAGTTGTTTGTAACTATGACCAGAATGGTCTCCAAGAAGAGATGACACTTTCTAGGGAGAACTAGTAGACCAACAGTAAAGCACAGTGATACAGGCATTGGTTAAACTTTGTCTGAATATAACTGTGCATGCTTGGACATGCATGTAGGCCCATTCTTGGAACATATGGTCAGCTGTGTGTGCAGATTCACTTGTGAAAGGCATGTCTGTGACTCCAGGAGCCATAGCTTGAATATGTGAATGTCCAGAGGGTTTGTAGCTCTGAGGCTGCTGGTGTACACATAAGTCTAAGGGACTTTTCTCAGAGCTCTGCCAATCATGGCAGGCCCATCTCTACTTATCATCGCTGGGAGCAGGGAAGGGGGCAGTGCCAGCCAGCAGGGAGGGTGGGCTCTCTGAGATATGTGGCCTTGGCTGTAGCCAGTGCTGTTGCCTTTTCTTTGTCTTCCTCCTGGCTTTCTGTTTTAGAGGGGCAGGGATGGCCATGCCAGGCACAGGGGGTAGACGGAACAGTTGGGTCCAGCCTCACCCAGCTCATTAAAAGGTGGGGCCTGTTCCTTGTGCACAAGGACATCCCTACATGCCAGGAAGAGCTGTGATGCCACTGGTAGGCTTCTCACCAGCAGGCAACAAGCTCCAGTGAGCCAAGGCACTACCCTGACCAGGCCGTGGGATGGAGAAAGGCCTTTCCTTCCAAACCTCTCTAGACCCAGTCTGCTGTGTTCCTGACCCTGGCCCTAGCATCCCACCTAAATCTGGGCCTGATATTCTATCGCAAACCCTTCCTAGGGAATCAGCATGCCTGAGCAAGGCCCTTGTCCTAGGTCTCTGTTCATTGAATAACCCTCTGCTGAACCATGGAGCAGGGCAGGGGTGCTGGTCAAGGTGTTGCCTCCCCCTCTAGTGTGGCCTTGGAACTTCACCCCTATTCCATCCTCTCCATCCCCTGCATTTTCCACTCACGTGCATTGGGCAGATGGGTTTTAAGGAGGGGTTGACTAGATGTAGGGGGGTCTGAGGGGAGGCAAAGACAGTCCAAGAGCAGGCAAGGGGAAGGGATGGGAGGGGGACAGACCCTGTACTAAGGAAGCTTGGGGATATGAAGGTTATGTACAAGCATCTGCATGGGCTCTGTTCCTGGTCTGCCCCTGCAGAGGCTGAGGAGCTGTACCAGAAGAGAGTCCTGACAATTACTGGCATCTGTGTGGCTCTGCTGGTCGTGGGCATCGTCTGTGTGGTCGCCTACTGCAAGACCAAGTGAGTGTTCCATGCTCAGGCTGAAAAGACTTTCTCCATGCACCTACTCTGCCTAGCTTGAGAGTCTACAGCTTCCTGTCCCCTGTAGCCTCCGGACCTCTACAGCTGTAGCACCAAGGGGTAGGCACAGGGAAAGTCTTGGTTCAAACCCATCTCTGTTACCTCCCTTGAGAAAATTGAGGAACTTCTCTAAGTCCTCATAATTGTGAGCCTCAAAGGCCATAACAATGACCTCACTGGAGCTCCAAGTTACCCTTTGCAGGCTCTTGCAGCAGGAGACAAGCCTGGGGAGAAAAAATGGGTCACTAGAGGCCAGGGAAGGGTTTGAGCCATAGGAGTGATATAATTAGTTATAATTTAGATGGGGGATTGGAGAGCTGGTGGGGGAGAGGCCCTGGGCCATGCTGGGAAGGAAGATGTTCAGGGAAGGCTGCATTCCCAGAACAAACGGGTGTCTCAACAGCATGGTGCACCCCATGCTGGAGGTGCTGCAGGAGGAGAGACTGGGCTATCTCAGGGCAGACAGGGGCAACTGGGGAAGCTGGGAAGGTGGTGTATAGAAGAGAAAGAGAAGCCAGAGAGGGCAGCCTAGACCGCTCAGAGCAAAAAGCCAGGGTCAGAAAAAGTGGGCAGAAACTAAAGATATCTGGGATTCAGATGCCTCCATAAAATCTTGATGCCGGGCTTCAGATGGCATGGAGCTCAGGAAGGCTGAAGAGTGGGGCTGTGCAACCTTTGTTTAGATTGGGAAGTAAGTCTAGGCAGTTACTATTCAGAGGATGAGTCTCTGAGCTGGACTCCTGCTGCCTTACAGATGTGATCTAAGGTTCTGCTGACCTCATCTTGAGACGAAACCAAAGGTCTGGGAAGGAAGGAAGGGATCCACAGAGATATCCCTGCCTCCACTACAGCTGGCCACCAAGCCACATTTTTGAAGCCCTGTCCTCAGCTGGAGAGCATAAGGGCTTTCCCTAAGAAATGGCATTCAGGCTAGGGCCTAAGGAGAGAAGACATGAGCCGGTGAAGAGGCTAAAGTGCAGGGCAAAGCACTGCAGGATCAGAAGCTAGCTGTCCAGGAAGCAGCAAGCTAGGTGGAGAGAGGCAGCAAGAGACAAGCCTGGGGAGAAAAATAGGGTACTGAGGGCTAGGGAAAGGTTTGAACCATAGGAGTGATATAATTACAATTGTATATGAAAAAAATAATTAACTGAGCCTTTATTATGTGTCAGTATCTGGGAGTCCCATGGGCCTGACTCCTGAATCACAGCACTCAAGTTTTATTTTCTCTGTAAAGCTTCACTGGAAATGACTATCCGTTGACTTGTTTATTTACTATCCACCTCCCCTACTGGCTCCAGACTGCATGAAGCACAGACCATGTTTACCTCATCTGTTCCAAAGCAGAGTCTGGAACACAGGAAATCCCAATAAACAATTACTAAACAAATGAGGGAAGGAGGGGCTAGCTCAGTGTGAGTCACTTACCGGCTTTTTATCATCAGTGGTCTTTGGGATGCTACAGATGAAGGCAGTGAACTTTCAGAATTTGCCCAAGGCCACACAGTACAAGGCAATAGGGTTGTGTGCATTGCCCAGCCTCCCTGGAAGGATAACCAGGGGATTTCATCCCTTTAGGGGAGCCATGCTAGGCTCACCTATCCTTCCTCTGTGCAGAAAGCAGCGGAGGCAGATGCATAACCATCTCCGGCAGAACATGTGTCCAGCCCACCAGAACCGGAGCCTAGCCAATGGGCCCAGCCACCCTCGGCTGGATCCTGAGGAGATCCAGATGGCAGATGTGAGTGGTGTTCCCAGACCTGCCCCTCTTAGCTCTTGCTGGACAGCCACCTTCGCTGCTGCAAGCATGGCAAGCATGGGCCAGGGTGGATCTGCTGAAGCCTAGAGTATCCAGTCCCGTTGTCAGGCACCACCTCACCGGGACCTGCCTTCACTCTGCTCATTTCCATAAGGAAGAACTGAGGGGGAGATTGACTGTCAGGGCTATCACTGACCCAACAAAAGTCACATCTCACCCAGTGGGCCACTCTTTAACCTAGAGCTTAGTGCCCATCACCTGCCCTCCCTACCAGGAAGGAGAGCCTATCTATTCTCTACCGCTAACTCCTCCCAACTTTCTGTCCTAGTACATCTCCAAAAATGTGCCAGCCACAGACCACGTGATCCGGAGGGAAACTGAAACTACATTCTCTGGGAGCCACTCCTGCTCACCTTCTCACCACTGCTCCTCAGCCACGCCCACCTCCAGTCACAGGTGAGCAGCACCAGGGCCCACGGAGCCCTGCTAATTCCTGTACTTTGTCATTCAATCATCCACAGCTAGCTGATACCTTCTCTTGTGTTTACATACGGATCGAATCGCAACCCACCTGACTCTTGAGTACTGGGGCAACCTGTCCACACAAGTACAATAGCTCCGACAGCTGGGAAAATAGCAAGGCTGGTCCCTTCTTCCATGGAGAGCTCCATGTAATAGTAGAGCCCTTACATACTGGGATACACACTGAGGCTGGGATCCTGAGGAATGGCTAAAGAACATGGGGGTAGACGTCTCCCAGTTGGGGGACATTGGTGGCAGGAGGAAAGAGCCTCTTCACATCGCCAACCACAGGATCCCAGCCTTCCTTCTCCATTGTCGGGGCTGAATGTCTGTGAAATTCCACATCAAGCCAGAGTGGAGAAGGCAGTGATCCAAGCCACAGACGAGATGAAGACCTAAGAGCAGGGTGGCCATGGATCACACACCTGCATTTGACAGCCTGCCCTTCCTGACCTGTCAACTTACTCCTATCTGGTTTCCCCAGACATGAGAGCCACACGTGGAGCCTGGATCGTTCAGGAAGCCTGACCTCAGATTCCCAGTCGGGCATCATGCTGTCCTCAGTGGGCACCAGCAAGTGCAACAGCCCAGCGTGTGTGGAGGCACGGGCGCGGAGGGCGGCGGCCTACAGCCAGGAGGAGCGGCGCAGGGCTGCCATGCCACCCTACCATGACTCCATAGACTCCCTGCGTGACTCCCCACACAGTGAGAGGTCAGTCCCTACTATCCCTTGACTAAACCCCACCTTGGCTAGAAAGCTGCCGCTGACCCTTAGGGTGACTCGGAGGCATTGCCAAGAGCCTCATCCCTATTTTTCTGTTGGGCAAACAAGGTCCCAGAAAGATTAAGTGGTCTCCTAGGAGTAGAATTGCATCTAGGTCAATAGATCCTGGCTGGAGTGACCACAAGGTTTGTCCCATTAGGGAACATTAATAACCATACTGAAACATTAGGGACAAATAGACACAGGACACAAGGTTGTCTGATTCCCATTGTCACCTAAAGATCCCCGTATCTCAATAGAAGCAGAAAGACACCAAGATCAAGGAGACTGGAGGCTAGGAAAAAAGGTCATTTTCAAGGGCACTGACTGGAGGGCAAAGACATAAGCCAAGAATGGTCTCAGTGCCTATCAACATCACCATCAAGGTCCTAGTGCCCAAGACATTTCTGGGATCCTGAGAAATCCATGAAGAAGCAGCCAGGAAATTGCTTTTTCCCTGGAGCTGGCAAGATTTCTCAGTAGCAAATAAGCTTGCCTACCAAGCCTGCTGATCGAAGTTTAATTCCTAAAATCCACAAGGTGGATGGAGAGTACCAGTTCAAACAAGTTGTCCCCTGACCTCCATATACATGCTGTGTACTCTACACCAGGAGTCCTGGGAACTAGGCCCCACTCTGACAAGCTTTCCAGTGGATGTTAATCAAACTAGGCCTGTGAGAGGAAAGCAGAGGAGGGCACACCATGGCAGGAGAGGCTCCATGATGGGGAGGAGCAAATTCTACCTCTTTTACACTCAAATGGCTCTATGCCAGGCTGGGCTGATCAAGCATACCAGAGATGGCCTACCTGCTCTTATTCCAAGCAAGAGACAAGCCACTGACAGCCTCAGCAGTTTTTCCGTGCTAAGCACAGACACCACACCAGAGCAGAGAAACCAGCTCCAACCACAGGCTCCAAGACACGCCCAGATGTTCCTCTCCAAGCCCAGCCCCAGTGCTATCTTCACGATCTGGGGCAGGTGCCTCAAATTTTGCTCCTTCAGTGTAGACAAGGGAAAACAGTTTCTACTGTACATGGAGCTGGTAAAGGACCCCAAGAAAGTGTACAGAGTTCACACCTGTCTCTGTTGTCATCAGTGGTAACCCCAGCACTAGGTGGAAAGCCCAGCATCAGGGAGATGGGGAAGGAAAACTTTGCAGACTTGGTGTATCGCTGCAGCTGTTCTAGGACACACACCTAAGAACATGCTTAAGAGAAACAGGGTGGCCTGTGAGGAGCCATGGAGCTCAACAGGCAGGCTGGGGACACAGAGATAGACCAAGGGCCCTTGGTTTCTGCTTGCTTGGACAGTGGAGCCTTGGTAGATAAATACCATAGCAGAGCTCATGTTTGGTTGGTTTGTTTGATTGGTTTGGTTTCGGCTGGAAATGGGGGTTGTTTTGTTTTGTTTACTCTGGGTGGGAACTTCCTAGAGTTGAAAGAGATCCCAAGGTGGTGGCATGACCAGAAAGAACATCTAGCCCAGCCTGGAGAGTGTGCCTCAGGAGAGAGGGAGTAGGTAGAACTTAGCAGTTAGTTAGATCTGCATGTGGAGAAGAGGAGAGGGGAATCAACTGATTCCGTGAGAAAGTAAGAAGGATGCTGAGTCAGTTCCAGAGAGCATCAGGTACCTAGAGTGCAGTCTCGAAGAAAGGCGTGGCAGTGAGTGATCCCTGTCCTGGGTGAGGCTGAAGGCTCACAAGGCAATTGTGAAGAGCAAAAGGGGACATCTGGGGATATTATTGGAAAAGCAAACTTTTCAAGGAAGTCAGGGGAGTAGAGACCCGTGTTATCTTGATATTGTCTGTCCTGTCTTGAGGACCCTACCCAGTGTCACCTCCCTGTGGCTGCTTTGGACTTCAATACAATAAGTCATTTCCCTCACTCGGGCCATCCGTGCAAGGGCAGTGAGCTCAAATGCAGGGCGTCTCTGAATGGCAGCTGCTGGTTTCTGGAATTAGGTTTACTGGTTTTCCAGTAACCTAGGTTCAAATCCCAGGCATAGGTGCCCAGGATTCACACTGGGAAGTATTTGCAAAAACAGGCCTGCATGGACCTGGGAGTCACTGGCTCCAAAAACAGACACCTAGTGGTTCCTTGGTGAAACAGGGAGGAGGGAGTTAGTTGACTCAGAAAGAATGGGTCAGGATACATCTTGGTCATTTGTCCTTGACTCTTACATGTCTGAGTCTCTCTTTCCTGTGTGTAGTATGGCCCTCACACACAGATTCTACAGAATAGATGAGACCACACGTAAAATACCCCAACTGAGCTTGCCCTGGAGACTATGAGCATTCCCACAGCAAATGGCCATTAGGGATGCTTATCCAAGGACAGACAAGGGGCTAGGGTACTTCCCTAGTACATTTCTGAAATCATCCAGCATCACACTGGAGTAAAACACTATAGCTATCTATGCTGAACAGATGAAAACAGGCTGGGAGGGATCATGGAAACTGAACGTGGTGAGAGGGCCACAGCCTTCACTCTAACTGACAGGGTCCTTTCTGATTGGAATCTCTAGCCCTGCACCCAGGTCGCCCGACCCACGCTCTGTCTCTCCCGCAGGTACGTGTCGGCCCTGACCACGCCCGCGCGCCTCTCGCCCGTGGACTTCCACTACTCGTTGGCCACGCAGGTGCCGACTTTCGAGATCACGTCCCCCAATTCTGCGCATGCCGTATCGCTGCCACCCGCCGCGCCCATCAACTACCGCCTGGCGGAGCAGCAGCCGCTCCTGCGGCACCCGGCCCCGCCGGGCCCTGGGCCGGGATCCGGCGCGGACATGCAGCGCAGCTACGACAGCTACTACTACCCGGCGGCGGGGCCCGGACCGCGGCGCGGCGCCTGCGCGCTGGGCGGCAGCTTGGGCAGCCTGCCCGCCAGCCCCTTCCGCATCCCGGAGGACGACGAGTACGAGACCACGCAGGAGTGCGCGCCCCCGCCGCCGCCGCGGCCGCGCACGCGCGGCGCGTCCCGCAGGACGTCAGCGGGGCCGCGGCGCTGGCGACGCTCGCGCCTCAACGGGTTGGCGGCGCAGCGCGCACGCGCGGCGCGGGACTCGCTGTCGTTGAGCAGCGGCTCGGGCTGCGGCTCGGCGTCGGCCTCGGACGACGACGCGGACGACGCGGACGGGGCGCTGGCGGCCGAGAGCACGCCTTTCCTCGGCCTGCGAGCGGCGCACGACGCGCTGCGCTCGGACTCGCCGCCGCTGTGCCCGGCGGCCGATAGCAGGACTTACTACTCCCTGGACAGCCACAGCACGCGCGCCAGCAGCAGACACAGCCGTGGGCCGCCCGCGAGGGCCAAGCAGGACTCGGGGCCCCTCTAGGCCCCCCCCCCGCCTCGCCCGCCCCACGTCTCCAAGGAGAGCGGAGACCACCGACTGAAGAGGGAATAGGAGCGAACAAAGAAATAAAAATATTTTTATTTTCTATAAAAAGGAAAAAAGTATAACAAAATGTTTTATTTTCATTTTAGCAAAAATTGTCTTATAATACTAGCTAACGGCAAAGACGTTTTTATAGGGAAACTATTTATATGTAACATCCTGATTTACAGCTTCGGAAAAAAAAAAGAAACAACAAAAAAAAAGAGAGATGGGCCAATTTTTTGACTCTTTAATAGAAACCTATATTGTGGTGCCTTTTGCTGTACGCTAACCTGGGGCTCCTGGAGAGTCGTCTGGGGTGCAGGGTGGGGATGGGCGCTTGTAGGATCCCAAACCGGTTGGGGTGAGAAAAGGCAGGGAATGAAGAGACTGAGGTTCTCATGGCCCTGAAGGTAGTAGACCTTGAGGAAGAAAAAGAAAACAGGGCAGAATTTGATTTTCACCAGTCCAGATCTGGAGTCCTGGGCAAAGAGGGTAGGGATCCTAGGATTAGAGCTAGAATTGAGGTCGGGTTACTTCCAGGGGGACACACAGCCCCCACTGGAGCAACTAGAATGGGGAGGGGTCCTCCTCACAGCTGCTAAGGGAAAGAGGACAAAGAAGGCGGTCTTCCCACCAGCCCCCGGCCTAGGGAGGAGGCAGCTCTACCAGGGGCCCAACCTTCATGGCTCCTCCTCCCCTGCGGCCTCCAGGATACCCTCTGTCCTCTGCAGCACCTTCGTTTACAGGTCGTCTTTTCTATTTTACGCCTGCATGTCCTTTGCATTTCAGATTCTTTAGATTGAATGCATGGTCACGCTGGGACCCAGAAGAGGCACTCCGACAGTGTATTCGATTCCCCTTTTAGCAATAAAGTAACACCTCACAGCCCAGCCCCCAACCCTCCTATGACTTCCATCCGGTCCTGCCCTCCCGGCCCTCAAAACTGGATCCAATGCTAATTTGTCAAAAAGGCAATTGTCTAAAAAACAAACAAACAAAAATCCCAAACAGGAACAAATGGGAACCCTGACATGTCCAAACACCTGACTGTTGACACTTGAACATTTTTATATTATAAATAAAATCAGAAATAACTCCTGTTTGACTGTGTGTACCTGGCACCAGGTGAGGAGGGAAGATAGAATGAGGACCTGAGATAAGGATTGTGGGTACTAGAACAAAGACTGGAGAGGGCCAGAGCAGTCCCTGAGCAGGAGTGACCCTCTCTCCAGTTCTGCTGGCCCCGGCTCCAAGGGCCTGCTCCAAGTCTTCCTTCCAAATCGTTTATAAGGTGTCCCCCCTGGGTGCTGGGGAACCCAGCCAAGGGACTGACGCAAATTGTTCTGCTTTAAACTCAGCCTCAGAACTCTGGCCCAGCCCCTGCCCTGGAGCTAGGAAGTTGGGCTGAAGCAACCCTTTTCCACCCAGGTGGGTGAAGAGGGAAGGGTTGTGGGCTTGGCACGGAGGCAGTGGAGGCAAAGATGACCCTTGGGGCTTCAGGCACATCACAGGCAGAGTCTGGACATGTAAGACAGCATAATGGGTACCCTCATTGCCAGAAAGACCATAACAGCTGCAGCTTCTAAGCCCACAGTTTTATACCCTCAGAGCCAGGGTCTGTCTAAACCTGCAACTCTGATGAAGGTCTGATCTCAGGCTTGCGGGAGGCAGATGGAATCCCCGTGAAGAGTTTTTCTCCTCAGCAACCTAGAATACCAGGAAGGAAGATTCCAGCCTTCTGGAGCTGGGGTCAATGTGCCCACGTTTGTGTATGCTTATGTACATTCTTGAATATCCCCGTGTGGAGCTAGACAGGCCCTAATAGAGGAGTGGGACACAGAGGCATAGGGCAACTATTGGCACTGAATTTGGGTGCCAGCTCTGGCCCTCACTAGCTCTGCCTTCCCCAGACCACAGTTTGCTTGGTGAGAAATGAGGAAGAAATTATATACCACAGCGAGTATGCGTGGAGGTTCCATGCAGATGAACCCAGCAGTGTTGCTGACAGAAGATGCTGCCTTGATGGCACTGGTGACAGGATCCTGAGCCTTGCAGCCTTGAGTCACAAAGTGGAAAAACTCAATGACTAAGTGTAAACTTATAAAGTCATTTTATTCATCGAGGGATGCCGAGGGGACACTCATTACCGAGGGAAAAAAAATGAAAGAAAAATTACTGGACTGAATGTTATACAAACCTGTAGATCATGGACCTTCTCCAAGCCCCAGAGATGACCTCCTTCAATTCCTCTATCTCAGTTTGCTGTTGCCTTGAGGGCTTTCTTAGGGTGGTTATCCTTACATGTGACCTCTGATCTCTATGGGACCCCAAATTAACTGCTATAACCTCCTGGTTATACTGAGCCTACTGACCAGATCTCATTACGATCCAGGTTAGCCTGTGTGAGGGCTTTAAGCTGTTGCCTTCTAGGTTCTCATTCAGAAACCACCTTTATGACTCAAATGAATTCTCCTATCTGTACATGACGCCGGTTGACTTTGAATAACCACTTAGTGAGCTTGTACCTGACCCCATTTTTTTCCTTCATCATCTGCCCAAGGCCAGCCTTAGCCTAGCTCCTCAGCTGTCTCCTCATTGCATCAGCCACCTAGTCAATGGACAGGTATGGTTGGGACTCAGGAGTGCACTTGACCAGAGAGGCCCTCTTGCCCACCCTGACTCTCAGGTTTCAGCCTCCGGGCAAATTGAGTGTGTGGCCTTTCAGGGAGCATTGCAATCACTTTAAGCAACTTCCCTTCCACCACCCTGTCCCCTGGAACACTCAGGACATTCAGGCAGCTTCTTAGGTCAAAATTCTCTTCCCGCCCCCCCCCAAATTCTCTACTTTGTAGTGATGTGTTTTGTGTCTTTCCCCAGCCCCTCTCAGAGCCCTCTATGGCAATGACATCCACTTCTCTCCCAGACTCCCCTAACTGTGAGACCCATGAAGACAGGGAGCTGACCTCTTTCACGGCTGTCCCTAGCACACAGCAACAGTGTGTGGCTCATGGTTGTCCATCACTAAAGAGGTTGGAGGCTATTTGTCAAGAATCAGCCACCAGGCGTTCCTGAGCAGGAACCTCTAGACAGAGCAAACCACTTACAGCATTTTGTGGGGTCCTGGATTTGACTAGTCCTTATGGGCACGTTAGGGACAATGGTAAGGGAAGAGGAACATGATAGTCTATTAGAATGCAGGAAAAAATGTTAGAACTTTGATTTAGATTTATTTTCATCTCATCTTTTTTTAAATTTCTATTTTTGTGTATGTTTTATAATGTACATAATATTTTAGTACAGTAGTACATGTATATAATTTACAAATAAAGAATTATACAATTAAGGAAGCGAACTAAAAAAAAAAAACTGTCTTTCCTGTTGGGAAGCACAGCTAGTGCTTGGGGAATCGCGCGCGTCTGCAGCTAGTGAGCCTGCGCCTCTGCCGCCATCCCCCGCCCCTGTAACACAGAGAGTGGGACACTGGCCTGAAAATCAAAGGACCTTCAGGCAGCTGGACAAAGAACTGAGATCTCTCTACTGCCCCGAAATTGCCTTTCTGATCTCATTCAAATGAGCATTTACTTCCCCTGAGCAAAACAAAGGGGCCAGATGGTTTGGCTATAATACACACTTCAGCTAATCCAATTCAAACAATTTGGATTTAAAACCCCTAGGCCTCTCCACATACAGCTCCTCACATCCAATGGGAGTGGACTTTACACTTTAGGTGCTTAGTCACAAGGTTTATGTCGCCAAGAGGTCAAACTGTTGTCCAAACAATAGGAAAGACTGGCCCATGGTAGCTGGGTCAAGAGGGCCATCCCTGCAACTCACTTGGTCTAAGTGATGCAGGGTTTAAAGATGTCAACCTGTGATGGACACCTGTCTCTATTCTCAGCTATGTCCTTAGCTAGGCCCTTCTGATTCACTAAAAAACACAAAAGGATTATCAGTAATCTAAAACTTGTCACCCCACCTTTTCCCCAAGACCATGAATTAACACCTTCCTCTATCTCCGACCTGGGCTTACTGGCAGATGGCACTCAGCAAGGTAGAGTGTCCTTCATTCCTGCCAGTAGGTCTGTGCAGACACCACACTGGAACTCAGAGACCCTGGCAGCATTCACAGAAGATCCAAACAAACAGAGGTGTTTGTTTGAGCCATTCATCCCACAGGACACCCTTGGGACAGAAGAGGTGACATACATAACCTGTTTAGTCCAAGAGCATCAACTGGAAACGTGACTATGAGTCACAAGTCAGCCAGAAGAAGAAAAGGCAAAAACACAGAGAGCCTTCATCTTTCCATCCAGGGTTCCAGGGTACAGAGGGCCCCAGAGCAGGCTTCCTTGCTTGCAGGCTGAACTGAGACGAGCTTTTGCTTTATCTGCTTTTATCCTCTAATTGACAGTAGTTCTCAGACCTTCTTAAATGAGCTCCTGTGTGTGTGCGTGCGTGCGTGTGTGTGTGTGTGTGTGTGTGTGTGTGTGTGTGTGTGTGTGTCCATTTAAAAAAAGAGGCAGGAGAGGCTTCAGTGGGTAAAAGGAGAGTTGGACACATGCGTGAGTAGAATCAGCTTGGCGCTGAGTGGAGGTTAGGCCTCATATTATTGCAATGTGAGCCATTTGCAAAGGTTGCTGGGAAAAAGAAAGGAAAAGGCGTTGCTGGTGGTCCATAGACCTGCTGCTGGTCAACTTAGAGGAAAGAGGAGAAAGTGTAGGTGTCCAAGCTGAGACCCAGAGTTCAGACCCATCCTCACAAATACAAGATGAGGGAGAAGCTTGATGAGAAGAGGGCTTGGGGAAGCAACAGGGACGGACTTCTCTGGTTGGCAGCCCTATAGCATGTCTGTCCTGCAAAGCAAGGCCTCATGACTTGAGGGCAGCCAGGACTGAGAGTCTAGGCCAGAGAAAGCCCAGGGTGCAAGATCAATGCCACAAATGGCATCTCCTTGGCCACGTGGCTCTCCATACCATCTTGTTGCCTGCTAACTGCCTGGAGCTTGGTTCAAGCAGCCTCTGGCTGGAATTGTGCTCACTGACCCCTCTGGGGACATTTGCCTGACTCCAGGGCCTGCACAGCCACACCAGCTAAGTGTCTGATGCAGAGGCATCCTTTGTGGCTTTGCTGCCAGTCACAGGCCCATGGCCCAGGCTGAGGGCAGGGCTTGAGTGTGTTTTCCGGAGAGCTGGGTCATCCCCTTCTAGAGTAGCCAGCCGGGCCTCAATCCGCTCCAGGTCATCTGAGCCCACTTTGATCTTCACGGCCAGGAGGTGGATATAGGTCTCATAACGGCTTTTCTGGGAAAGGGGCAGACAAAAGACAAAAGCAAAGTCAAAAGAGATATGACAAAATGGAGATAGGAGAAAAGTAATAGCAAAACACTGCCCTCAGAGGCATGCAGGGAGCTCTTGCTATCCATAAAAAGGAAATAAACCACCCAATAAAAAATAGGCAGACTACATACACCTAAATCTCGCTCATAATTTTTTTTTTGAAACATCATCTCATTATGTGTCTCTGGCTGGTCTGGAACTCATTCTGCAAACCAGAGTGACCTTATCAACTTCCCAAGTACTGGGATTACTGTCAGGCCCTATCATGCCCAGCTTCCCACTTATAACTTGAAATACAAATAATGTCGATGATTTCTTAGATATAACATGAAAGACATGGGCAAATGGACTGCATTGACATTTAAAACTGTGATTTGAAGGATAAAGAAATTATATTTAATGATCACAAAGCTTCCATTTGGAGAGATAGAAAAGTCTGAAAATTGGCATAACAATGTAAATAATTGCTACTGAGCCACACACTTAAAAGTGATCAAGATGGCACAGTTTATTTTGTGTTGCCACAATTAAAATTTTAACATTTTGGAGGCTGAATGGATGGCTCAGTTAAGGGTGCTGGCTGCTCATGCAGGGGACCTGAGTTCAGTTCTCAGCATCCCGTATAGGCTCACCACAGCCAGTAACTTTAGCACAGGGGAATCTGATCCCTCTTCTGTCCTTCACAGGCATCAACAAACAAGTGTGCAGAACACACACAGGCACACATAAATCAAAAGACATATTTTTAATTAATAATGTAAAATCTAGATTAAAATAGTAATGAGACAATGAACATTAAACTTGTGAGGTCAATTGAAGATTAAAGCATTTCCAAATGCCCAGGGTTGGTAAGCGTGTGAAGAAATGGTTGCTTTCATAAACACTTAGAAGGGATGTAAGCTGCTGTCAACATTTAGGAGGGGGACCTAGGTGTCTGAGCACCTTGACTCTAAGCTTTAGGCCTTTCCACCATCAGGGACGCCTTTCCCCCAGTTCTGCCTACAAGGCTTCATGCCCTCCCCACCAACATCAAGCCAGTAAGAGAGGACTCAGATGCCAGAGTTGCAGCCAGTCACCTGGTGAGGATCCTGCTCTTCTCAAGTGTGTCACCTCAGGCCAGCGCTCTGTCTTCTCTGAGCATCAGCTTACCTTTCCATTAAATGGGTATAGTTATAGAAACCCTTCCACAACATTGCCATGAAGGTCAATGTAATTCAGCCATGCAAGGAAGGGAAGACAGCCAGGCCTCCCCCCAAAACAAGCCCCTAACAGCTGCTGTCATTTCTATTTTCACACTGCAGAGGCTCCTAGAGAGACCCAGGCATAGGCAAAACTGATCAACATTTGGCTGCCAGACTGTGCGAGACTGACCACAGCACACTGTGGCTTACACCTGCCTAAGAGAGCCCCAGAGTAGAGGAGTCTCAAACCAGAGTCCTTGGCATGATGATGTTAATGGCAGGACGTGGAGGGTGGGAGCTGGCATCCTCCTCTGGCCCCAGCTCTGACCTCTGCCATCCACCTCCCAGACCTACCTCAAATATGAGATAGTGTTCCTTCAGCCGGTATTCCTCCGCCTCCTTGGACTTGAGGCCTCTCTCCACTGGGTGACACCTGTGCTCAGCCAGCTCTGCAGTCACCTGCTTCAACTTATTCTCATGAGAGCGCAGCTGCTCCTCCTACAAAGACAGGCCCACGTCTGTAAGGTCTAGAATTTCACAGGAGTGGGCTAACCGCATCACAGTGGAAGTGGCTTCAGCAAAGGAAAACCGGAAAACAGGTGCTGACCAGAGACCTCAGATTCAGACATGGGTGCAGCGGTAGGCTCTAGATATGAATGTTCCTTCCTGCTTCCTTTCCTCCCTCCTCACAGGGACATCAGCCCTCCTCAGTGCCCAGCAGGCTCAGGAGAAAAGAGAGCTTCATGTTTGCAGATCCAGATCACACCAAAGGTAGACTGAGACATTGTCACTGACAGGCCAGTGCACACACGCCCCTGTTACCACAGTGAGGAGGCCCCTTTGGGCAATCTGCATACATGGATGCGTGGATACACCTGTGGTGCAAGCCTACAGGGGAGCATGTGTGCTCATTTGGTGTGTGTGTGTGTGTGTGTGTGTGGTGTTTGTGTTCACACACAGGAGCTCCACGCAGACACGGAATGCCCTTAAGCTCTGTGGAGAGACAAAGGCCATGATAGGAAAGGGGCCAATAGCTGAGGAAGAAAGTTTGAACCTGGTTGGCCTTCTGTTCTCAAATTCTGGTCCATCCTTTTTCCCTTCCTGTCCAAAATACCATGAGAATATGTAGTATTAATGAGATGGGGTTTTCACAGCAATATAACTAAAGCATTTAAAGATTTAAAAAAAAAAAAGAATATCGTCCTGCCTAGTTTTACGACAGCTCGGTGCAAGCTGGAGTTGTCTAAAAGGGGGGGAAACTGAGTTGAGAAAACACCTCCATAAGATCCCACTGTAGGGCACTTAATTAGTGATTGATAGGGGAGGGCCAAGCTCATCATGGGTGGCACCACCCCTGGGATGGTGGTGCTGTGCTGGGTTCTATAAGAAAGCAGGCTGAGCAAGCCAGGGGAAGCAAGCCAGTGAGCAGCGCTTCCCCATGGCATCAGTTACTGCCGTGTGAGTTTCTGCCCTCACTGCCTTTGATGATGGACTGGTACACGGAGTGTGAGTGAAAAAAACTCCTTCCCAAATTGCTTCTGGTCATGGTGTTTCATCACAGCAATAGTCACCCTGACTACGACAAATGTCAACACTGGACTATTCCTAAAACATGAAAAGTGGGAATTAGAGAGATGGCTCCATAGTTAGCAGCACTGGCTTCTCTCCCAGAGGACCTGGGTTCTATTCCCAGCACCCATAAATGGCTCACAAACATCTGAAACCCCAGTTCCTGGAGATCTTATGCCCTCATCTGACCTCTGAAGGTACCAGGCACATGCAGAGATCACAGACATACATGCAGGAAAAACACCCGTACACATAAAATAAAATAAATGAAGTCTCAAAAATGTTTTATAAGAAAAGCATAATACGCTGGGTGGCGGTAGAGCACACCTTTAATCCCAGCACTGAGGAGGCAGGAGGAGGTGGATCTCAGTGAGTTTGAGGCCAGCCTGGTGTACAAAGAAAGTTCCAGGACAGCCAGGACTATTACACAGAGAAACCCTGTTGCAAAAAAACAAAAAATCAAAACCCATAACACAAATGCTTGTGAAGACTGGAGGAATGGAACCCTCACACACTGTGGGTGAGACTATAAATTAGTAAGTACATTTACTGAGCATGGATAGAAGCTCAGCATAAAACAAAAAACTAAAACTAGAGGAGGCCACAGAGATAGCTCAGTGGGTAAACTGCTTGCTGAGCAATCCTAATAACCTGAATTAGACCCAAGAAACCATTTAAAGGTAGAGGACAGAGCAGACTCCACAAAGTTGCCCTCTGATATCCACACATGCCATGCTATGTGTGTCCCACCCCCAACACAAGGTACATACACAAAATAATACATAAAAATTTAAAAACTGTCATGCTCCAACTGTACCATTGCTGGGAATACACAAAGGAACCCAAATCAGCGCATCACCGCAATACCTGCACACCCATGCATTCACAGCCATGTGTTCACACCCATGCATCTTGCAACACTGTTCAAAACAGCCAAGTGACAGGATCAGCCTAGCTATCTGCTAACAGATAAATAGATACAGAAAATGTAATGTATATACACATGAAGGGGTTTTTTTGTTTGGTTGGTTGGGTTTTTTTCTTCTTCTTTTCTCTCTTTCTTTCTCCTTTTCTTTCTTTCTTTTGGTATTTCTAGACAGGGTTTCTCTATGTAGTCCTGTCTGTCCTGGAACTCACTCACTCTGTAGACCAGGCTGGCCTCAAACTCACAGAGATCTGCCTGCCTCTACCTCCCAAATGCTAGGATTAAAGGTGTGCACTACCACAGCCCGGCACACATGAAGTTTTATTCAGCCATAAAGACTGAATTATAGGAGCTGAAAAGATAGCTCAGCAGTTAAGAGTACTTACTGCTCTTCCAGAGGAACCAAGTTCAGTTCCCACCACCCACACCAGGTGGCTCACAACTTCCTGATACCCCAGTTCCAGGGAATCTGATGCCCTCTTCTGTTCTGGCTCTGTGGGCACCTGCATACATGTGGTGCAGATAAACTCACACAGCAATACACACACCATACATATTTTGAAAAATAACAGTATGTAATTTATAAGAAAATTGATAGAATAAAGATCATGTTAAACAGGATGTGACATACACACACATGCACAAGTACACACAAAGCACACATATACACATGCACATGCTTAAATGCACATGCGTACACATATACACAAGCACATAAATAAATAAACATTCAAATAGAGCACTAGATGAAGGGCCACACAAGTCTCACCTGCCCCTTTGACACATACAGCCTCACAATTCATGCCACAGACCCAAATCACACCCATACATCTACACGGCCACTAGCAGACAGGCTTGCCCATGTCACCCATCACAGCACTGTCAAGCTTCTGTGTGCCATGTGTGTGGGGGTCTCCATCTTCCCACCTGTTAGTGGGGGGTGGGGTGGTAGAATATCTCTCCTCCTGTGGTGTCCCTCAGCCCAGGGCCACATGACCCAGAGGAAGAACTGAGCCGAGGCCAGCAGCTTAGTGCAGGAGCTGGTACCTGGCAGAGGCGAGTGGTACAGGAAGGCAGCAGGGGCCGACAAAACTTCTTCATGGAGCTAACAGCTGCTGGGAAGGCCGGTGCGGAAAAGATGGCAGCCACTAGGTTGATCCTCAAGATCCAGGACAGCATTTCTTCCTTGCTCCTGGGGACAAAAGAGTAAGTAAAAGGGCTCCAGATTCTCATGATAGGACCTCCAGCCCTCCCAACACCTGGCATCCAGTACTCAGCATAAAGTCTGGCAGAGAAGACCCCACTACCTAGGCAAGGACAGGAAGGAGGAAGCAGGGTGGGTGTGGGTGGATGAGGTGGGTCAGAACTGGACAGGGAACTCCCATCTGGGATCCCATGAAGAAACCCTGCTCCAGTCTGGACTGATGATGTCCCTAGACCCCCATGAACTCCAGGGTCAGCTGCAGTGAACAAACCTCTGTCCTGCCCCCACCACCTGCCCAGCATTCCCACTCTGTCCCCGGTCCTCACATACTAGTCTCCTTCATGGGAAACTTGTCTGACATGTTAAAAAAAAAAACCTCATCTCTAGTCACAGACAATGGGGTGCAGCAGAGTAGAAGACCTTACAGGTCATACGTAGAGAGACTCCTTCCCTGCAACCTCTGAGTTCCTGTCAAGGACTGAGTCGCAGTCTATCATCCTGACCTTTAGGACTCCAGAGTGCACCTGCAGCCCCTGCGGGCTTCTTAGACCCAGCCTGACTCTGTGAGCCTAAGATGGGGCAAGGAGGTGACACTTATACCCAGCCTCCAGGTAACAGAGAGGACCACACTGAGATGGGCTGCTCTGGAAGACTTGAAGCAGCTGTTGATCTGTGTCCAGCAGACACACCCAGTCTGTGGCTGACAGGCATGGACAGCTGGGCTGTCTATGGAGAGACCAGGAGAGTGGAACTTGCAGGGCTGATGGTGCAGGCAGCTCAGCCCAGCTCAGCTCCTACTTACGGTGCCTGGAAGAGGAAGACCCTCCAGTCTGCTGTCTTCAGCTTGAGCACGTTGGACTTCTTACTGTAATCAGAAGCCCTGGTGGCCAGAGCGTGGTGCACACGGATGGCGTTCTTCAAGTCACCCTCGGACAGAGCCTTGTCCGGCCTGTATTCATCCTGAATGGGGCATGCTGTGTCATCTCCTGCCCTCCGTCCCTCTCAGTCTCCCAGACTCCAGTAGAACCACTCTGTGTACTCTCCCTCCCATCCCAGTCTGTCTCAGAGGCCTGACACTAATCCATTTGGCATTTCAGAGTCCACTTCCCAAAACCCTCAAAGCTCCTGAGTGAGTCCAGGCCTGACCCTTAGTAGAAGAAGGCCCTAGCTCCACTCTAGGCCCCAGTACTGGCCAGAAGACCCTGAGTTGGGTACCACAGGCAGGGGCTGGATGAGACTGACAAGCCATTTCTAAGTAAGGGCTCTCACCTTCTGCAGGTACAGAATGGTCCCTTTGAGCACCGCGTAGAATTTCTTCCAGCCACGCCTCCCTCGGGGTGCTGGGGAGGGGGGCACAGGTAGTATGGCTGCAACCTCCTGCTTCTGTGACTCTTACCTGTCACCCCATGCATGTCCACTTGTGTGTGTGTGTCCCCAAAGGGATGGCCAAGGCTGGGTCCCTCCTATACCGCACCCCTCCCAAGCCCCATCCCCAGCCTGACACCCACTTCTCTTGCCATCCATGTCAGCATGAGTCTTCCGGGTCAGCACGCCATGCTTGTAGGTAGTAGCGCTGAGAGCCTGCGGGACATCCAGGAATGGATTGCCACCATCCAAGATCCGAGTCACCTTCTTTGTGCCTGTCCCAAACTTGTCATCCACCAGCTCAGACAGGGATTTTCTCAGCTCATTCTCATCACTAGGAAGGTACCAGACCTGAGAGCCACCTCCTGAGAGGCCTTGACCCCACCCCTTGCCACAACCTTTCCCACCAGCCACCCCGCTGGCACCAAGGTCAGAGACAAAAGATTCCAGAATACATCTCCAGGGGTCTGACACTCCCCTCCCATCTTCAGTCCTGACTTTTGACGTCTGACCTTTGATTCAGGGTCTCTAAGCTATTCTTCACCTTTAACATAGAGTTGAAGACTTTTGTCTTCAAGTCTTCTTCCCCCAATCTTCCTTCTCCTCTCCATCCCCAGGAACACTAGCCCCCTTTGGATTGAAGCTGTTGCATAAACCATGCCAACATGCTAGAGATAATAACCATGGGGCAAGCCCCTAAGTCCAGGCATACCACGAGAGCCCTGGTAGAATAGTGCCAGTTCTTCTAGGCAGGGTTATAATCCCTGAGATTTGGGCCTCTGCACATTTCCAGAGGCACAGTCTTCCCTTGGGAGCTCAGGCACAGGGCTCCCCCCAGAGCCTTTCACAACTTCACCAACCAGTGACAGCTGGTGTTTGTGCACACACAACCTCCACAGGTGAAGAGGCTGGGGCACTCACCCCTCCCCACTGCCCAAAGCAATCTCCACCCAAACATCTTCATACTGCCAGTATTGTCAGGCCCTGTGCCTCCTGCCCTCCTACTTCCCAAAAGGGAAAAGGCTGTCATCGGGTGGGAACTTCACAACATCCTAGGTACAGACAAACCAGTCACAGGCACTCCTAGAATTAAATTCATGGTTGAGTCTATTCTAGAGCAATGTAAACTTTGCACACCTGTAATCAAGTAGAAAATGAACCCCTGAGGGTGTTGCCCAGCTGGGGAAGGGTTGTCAGGAGCCTGAGCTAGGATAAATCAGCACCATGGAGAGTGGTCTGCATGACCAGCCGCTCCCTCTCCTGGTAATCAGTCTCACACAGCCACACCCTTGAGCACTACTCACATGGCCCATTCCAGCTTTTCATTCTTGATGGAGTTGTAAAGCGTCTGAACGAGGCAAGAAAGAGGAGGGAGAAAGGAGTTAAGGTGGAGAGTCCGAGAAATCCCCGTGTCTCTCCAGCAATGTGGCTGTAGCAAGGGAGCACCTTTGCATTCATGAGTAAAGTGAATGCTGGACTCATACTTGTTTGATGTCAGTTGATGAATAAATGAGTAGGTAGGTGGGTGTACGGATGGGTGATGTTTTGTTATGCAGTCATTACTGTCTGTCTAGCCAGGAGGCTGTAAGCTTCCCAAGGTTAATAATGTCTCCTTGTTCACCACTGAATCCTCAGCACAGTCTATAATGTTATGTCACAGGGTGGGTGGGTGGATAGGATGTTGGGAAGCAAATGGATTAGTGGTTAGTATACGTGTGTTTGGAGGGCTGGAAGCATAGCTCATTTGAGTGCTTATGTTGAGTGCATGAAGTCCTGGACTTGATGCCCAGAACCACATCAACCAGCATGGTTACATCCCTGTAACCCTAGCACTTGGGAAGTGGAGGCAAGAGGACCAGAAGCTTGAGGTCGTCTTCAGCTACGCAGTGAGATGAAGGCCATCCTGAGCTACATGAGACCTTGAAGTAGCTTGGGGGGCTGGTTGGTACAGAAATGGGTGAGGGGTGAATGGATAAGTACATGGGTAGGTAAGCAATTACATGTCTGAGAGGACAGGTGCATCCATGCATGTTTGGGTAGATAAAGAAGTATATAAAGGATGGATAAGTAGATGGGGGAAAGTGAATGAATGGGTTTTGCTTTTTGTTGTTTTTGAGACAGGGTTTCTCTGTGTAGCCCTGGCTGTCCTGGAACTCGCTCTGTAGGCCTCAGACTGGCCTCTGACTCAGAAATCCACCTGCCTCTGCCTCCCAAGTACTAGTATTAAAGGTGTGCACCACCACCTGGCTTGATCTTAAAGATATGTTCTCAACAGGTGCTTCTTAGTGATGAAGCAGATAATTATAGCAAAAGAGAGGTAGAGACAACATTCTCTTTTAGTTTCTGTAATTTACATATAATAATTGTACATATCTTCCTTTAGATTTACCATTCAACTCCCCTCCTAGCACCATAAGGATATTAAAAGATTAACTAAAACTGAACTCATCATCTATACATACCCCAAAAATAAGGCTGCTCTTCTTTATCCACGGCCAGAACTTCACTCTGGGCCTCAGCCTCAATGAAAGCCTAATTTCTTTCATTGTTGGTGATGGAGGAATTAATGAGTCTTCCCCTGTGGTTATGGTGGTGGTGGCATTGGTTGTGGTAGTAGTGATGGTGGTGGTGGTTGTTATGGTGGTGATGCTTGTTATGGCGATTGTAGTGGTGGTTGTTATGGTGATGGTGGTGGTGGTTGTTATGGTGATAGTGATTGTTATGGTGGTGGGGTGGTGGTTGTTGTGGTGGTGGTAGTTGTTATGGTGATGGTGGTTGTTATGGTGGTGGTTGTTAGGGTGATGATGGTGGTGGTTGTTATGACGATGGTGGTTGTTGTTATGGTGATGATGGTGGTGGTTGTTATGGTGATGGTTATTATGGTGGTGGTGGTGATGGTGGTGGTGGTTGTTATGGTGGTGGTGATGGGTGGCAGCCATTACAATTGGTGGTAGTGATAGCTATCGCTGTGATAGATAATGGTGGTGACTGGAGCACTAAAATTAAAATGCAGAGAGCCTCACCATCTATCTTTCTTGGAGAAGACAGAACCATCAACTGAGGAACAAAGCAGTCTCCAGCTCTGCCCCAGAGTGATGGGGCCCTGGTTGCAGTGCATGGGTCTAGAATGCCAAGGTTTAGTGGGGCAAAATTTTACTCCATGTGGGCAAGGGGCAAGAGGACTAACAGATAATACCTTCAACAGGTCTTTGGCAAAGTCTTGGCCATCATTCAGCTGGTCCAAGTTGGCAATGAACTGCTGGCAGGACATCTTCTTGCCAATGTTCTGTCATGGAGAAATGGTTCTGCCTGAGAGTAGGGAAGAAGGCTGGTGTGGTCCACACCCCCTGCCCTGTCCAGTCAGCCAGATAAGGCAGCATTGAGGGCAGTAATCAACATAAAACTGCCCAGCTACTCTTTCATCTCCAAGAAATTACAAAACACTTTTGCATTCAAACGTCTATTTGATCCACAAGCAACAGAAAGGCTCTCTTCAAATTCAGTGAAGGAGTCTGGTTAGCTGAGACTGCCAGGTGCCTGCTCTGCTCTGGGCATTATCATATCTCCTTGTCACAAAGCAAAACCAGAAAGGATGAGACGGTAAAGCAGTGTGTGAAGGGAGTGAAAGGGCCCAGTGTGTGTGCATCAGACCCCATGCCCTCACCCATCCCCCAAGCTCACTCAGCCTCTTGGCTCCTGAGCAGGTGCTGTATACACCAGCACATCCCTCCACGTTCTTACCCTCTCACCTGTACAGGGTGGGCTCAGGGCGGCCTCCCTGAGGAAGGTCAAGTAAGGGGGAATCAGGTCTTAGGAGATCAAAAATCAGTTACCACCAGCACACGTGGGCCATCCATACTGAGCTGGGTTGGCAAAGGGCTGGGGGTGGATGTCTGTACCCCCAAATTCTATCTTTTGTTAATTTCTCACTAGAATGGCTCAAGCCCTCCAAACCCACCACCTGGCATTCATACTTTCCGAGTATCCTTGGAGAAGGCCTGTTGGAGAGGCCATAGGAATCACTTCAACTATGGGAGGATTTGAGAGTCAGGGTTTGCTATGGAATGTTAGCATCCCATGACATGAGAATATGTGTTTCCAGGACAACCATAAATAAATAAATATTATAGTCCAGCAAATTGAATTTCACACTTCAGAGCCTTGAACATGCTCATGTGTGCCAGAATCTTAAAGGACAGATTTCCATGTGCACTGCTTCAGAATTCTTGATGTTGGCATTTCTTTAACAAAGGACCTCTACTAACTTCATGTAGGGCAGTTGTATACCACAGAAATAATCTGTAAAATAATGCTGCAAGGTAGGGGTGTGTGTGTGTGTGTGTGTGTGTGTGTGTGTGTGTGTGTGTGTGTGTGTGTGTGTGGCACAGGGTCTCACCAAATAGCTGAGGCTGACTTCAAACTTGAGATCCTCCTGCCTCAGCCTTCCAAATGTTGGGATTATAGATATGTTGACTAGTTTTTTTTTGTCAACTTGATACAAGCTACAGTCATCTAGGAAAAGGGAACCTACATTGAGAAAAATGTCCCCATCATATTGTCCTGTATTTCTTAATTAATGATTGATGTGGGAGGGGCCAGCTTTTTGTGGGAAGTTGGACATCTAGTTGGACATGTTGTGTAACAGTTTCCTCCAACATTTCATTCTTCAAGGACGTCCACTAAGCAGAAAGGTAAACAACTCAAAATATTTTCAGGAAATCCCTGAAACTGACCAGATTCATTAGGTCCCTCCCTGCCAAAGAAAACAGTAAAAGCTGACAGTCCCCTTCAGATAAAGCAAAGCTGCAAAGATTCTCAGACAAGCAACCCTGCCAAGATGCTTAGGGCCCATCCAGCTGCCTGGAAGAAGCAGAAAGCTAAGGCACCTGGAAAAACACCCTCCAAACTATTGAGCTGCCTATAGGCCATGCAGTGTACTCCAGGCTCCCAGACTTTTGAGTTGTCACCCATGCTGGGGTGGGCTTTAGTGATGCAGGTGCCCTTGAGTCATTTCTGCTCCTTTAAGTAACCCCTCACCCATATTACAGTAAACAAAAATTACTGATTTGGCCAGGCAGTGGTGGTGCATGCCTTTAATCCCAGCATTTGGGAGACAGAGGCAGGCAGATCTTTGTGAGTTCAAGGCCAGCCTGGTCCACAAACTGAGTTCCAGGACAGCCAGATGGAGAAATCCTGTCTCAAAAAAATAAAATAAAATAAAATAAAATTTAAAAAAAGAGTTGATTCACCAGTTTGGACTTTGGTAATATCCATACTTTGGCTTGGTATGAGTTTGGTGTGTTGCACCATCCCAGGAAAAGTTTTGTCACAAGGTGGTCCTGGGTTATATTAAAAAGCAGGCTGGGGGATTAGAGATTAAGAGCACTGGCTGCTCTTCCAGAGAACCAGGTTCAATAATTCCCAGAACCCACATAGCAGCTCACAACTGTCTGTAACTCCAGTTCCAATTGATCCAACACCCTCACACAGACATACATGCAGACAAAACATCAATGCACATTTAATTAATTAATTAGTTAGTTAGTTAGTTAGTTAATTAAAAGAAAACAGGCTGTAGCTGGGCAGTGGTGGCACATGCCTTTAATCTCAGTGCTCAAGAGGCAGAGGCAGGCAGATCTCTGAGTTTGAGGCCAGCCTAGTCTACAGAGCAAGTTCCAGGACAGCCAGAGCTACACAGAGAAACCTTGTCTTAAAAAAAAAAGAAACGAAGAAAAAAGAAAGCAGGCCAAACAAGCCAATAAAAACATTCCTCCATCAGCCAGGAAGTGGTGGCACACACCTTTAATCCTAGCACTTGGGAGACAGAGGCAGATGGATCTCTGTGAGTTCAAGGGCAGCTTGGTCTACAAAGCAAGTTTCAGGACAGCTGGCTACACAGAAAAACCCTGTCTCGAAAATAACAACAACAAAAAGTCCTCCATGGCTTCTGTTTCCATTTCTGACCCCAAGGTCCTGCCTTAGCTTCCCCTGATGATAGACTGTAACCCAAGTAAACCATTTCCTTCCTAGATTGCTTTTGGTTACCATCTTTATCACAACACTAGAAACTGAATTAGAATAATAGGTATACATGTCACTGTACCCAAACAATGTAAGGCGTAATATATGGCTGATGAGAATTTTCTCAATTTTTTCCAAAGGGTTAAAAAGAAAAGATCCTATGTGTTCCTTGGTGTTTCTGTGTGTATTTTTATGTATTCATTTATTCATGTATACATTTGCTGTGTGCAGACATACGCATACAGCTGTGTCATGGGCGTTTGCAATAAAAGAATATAAAGACACGAGGAAACACTGCCTTTGAGTCCCACACACACTGAGCATTCTCAGTCACTGAGAGTACTAGGTCAAAAGATAGCTAGGCAATGGGCTGGTGTGTGGCTCAGTTGGTAGAATGCTGCTTAGGATATGTGAAGCCTTAGGTTTGCTCCACAACACCACATAAACTGGGCATATTAACAAGTCCCTGTAATCCCAGCACTTGAGAAGTGGAGGCAGGAGGACCAGAAGTGCAAGGTGATCCTCAGATTCTCAGTAGTACAGTGCATTTGAGGCTAGTCCGGGCTACATAAGACTCTGTCTCAAAACAAATAAACTAATAATAAACAGTTTTTTTTAAATCTTAATAATGACACATCCTTATTTACAAAAGATACCTTCCCAATAAAAAAATAACTGTTAGGGGTCTGGAGAGGTGTTTCAGAGATTAAGAGCACTTACTGCCCTTCCAGACAACCTGAATTTGGTTCCAGCCGTGTTGGGTGGCTCACAACCTTCTGTATCTCCGGGAGAACTGGCACCCTCTTCTGGCCTTCAAGGGCATCACATGTGGCACACATGCACAACAGAACATATACACACACCTAAATAGAAATTAGTGGGAAAGGCCTTAGCTGAAATATTAATGGAACACTGTGTGAAGGCACAAAACAGACATCAAGGTTAAGTTCTTGCCAATCCAGGAATGTAGAGAGAGTCCGGCACTGGGAAACTTTCCTCCTTGAGGCATGGCCCAATGGCTGAGGAACCAAGTAACCCAAGTAGTCAGAGCCTACCAAGGGCAAAGGGTCCTGAGAAATACCTCGGCCATATGTCAACATGGAAATCGAAACAAAGAAGGGAAATGCTACAATGAATTCTTCAGTCAGAAAGAACAATTCTAGGTGAGAGTGTGGAGAAACAGGAAGTGTGGAGAAGGAAGAAGCATGGGGAAACAGGAAGTGTGAAAAAGCAGGAAGCATGGGGTGACAAAGAATGAGGAAGCAGGAAGCATGGAGATGTGAAAAAGGGAAGTGGGGGGAAGCAGGAAACGTGGGGAAGCAGGAAGTATGGAGAAGCAGGAGGCATGGAGAAACAGGAAGCGTGAGCGTGGAAGTAGGAAGAACGGGAGACCAGGAAGGCTGGTGTTAGTTCCCACAGTGGGAGCAGCCTCTCTGTCGGCTGCCTCTGTTGTGTCCCCACTCAGGGACAGCCCTAAGCTCTTTCCCGCCCCCCCCCATAACCCTCTCGCACTAAGTCTTTGGGCAAGGCACCCTGCCAGGACCTCCAAAAGGCTCCCATTCTCACCTTCCTTCTTAAAACATTACACTTGGGAATCAGGAAGTGTGGAGGCAGACAGAGAGTGAGAAAAGGAAAGCATGAGGAAGCAGGAAGCCTGGAGGAGAGGAAATCTGGAAAAAAGAGGGAAGGGAAGGGAAGCAGCAAGCATGGACAAGAATAAAATGTGAGTGGACAGAAAGCTGAGAGCAGTGAATGAACTGGAGTGTCCTTAGGTGTCACGTGGCCACGTGGCCCCAGAACTGATAATCATGCTTTTTTTCTCTCTCTCTCTGGATTTTTTTGAGACAGGGTTTCTCTGTATTGCTTTGGAGCCTGTCCTGGCACTCACTCTGTAGCCCAGCCTGGCCTCGAACTCACAAAGATCTGCCTGCTTCTGCCTCCCGAGTGCACCATCACCACCCGGCTAGAAACACACTTTTAACAAGTCAGAAATGTACATCATAAACAACAACAACAACAAAAAGAATTCTGAAGGCTGGGTGTGTAGTTCAGTGATAGAGTACTTGCTAGCATGTGTAAGGCCCTGTTTCGATCCCCAGCACCTCAAAAGGCAGATTTCTGAATTCTGAATTCTGAAAGAATGAACAACTAAGAAAATAACAAAAGAGGAAAACAGAAATCTAAAAAAAACACCTAACAATCTAAAAGTAGACAAGGAGGAGGGGGGAAAAAGAAAGAGAGAATGGGCTGGAGAGATGGCTCCGC